GTACAAATTTTTTGAGCAATCTTATGAAGCGATTAGCAAAACGATTTCGTATTCGACAATTTAAAACTACTTCTTTTCACCCTCAATCAAATGGTTCATTAGAAAGATCGCATCATGTATTAGCAGAATATCTTAAACAATTCATCAATAAAAATACTCAATGGGATGATTTATTAGAATTAGCTATGTTTTCTTATAATACAAGCGTCCATGAAGGTACTACCCAAGTAGCACGATATATCAACCAGATGTTACGGTGATATCACCGGGGAATGTCACCGTGACATCAGGAAAATGTCAAAATGTCCGCCTTACGGTGATATCACACGGTGACATCGTGGTGATATCATGGTGACATCAAGGTGATATCACAGTCATATCACGGTGATATCATGGTGATATCACCGTGATATCATGTTGATATTTTACAGGGATTTAAAATGTTTTAAAAATTATTATTTTTTACTATTTTTTTTATTATTTTTATTATTTTTTTTATTTATTATTATTTTCTAAATTATTAAAAATTTTAAGTCCCTGTAAAATATCAACATGATATCACGGTGATATCACCATGATATCACCGTGATATGACTGTGATATCACCTTGATGTCACCATGATATCACCTCGATGTCACCGTGTGATATCACCGTAAGGCGGACATTTTGACATTTTCCTGATGTCACGGTGACATTCCCCGGTGATATCACCGTGACATCTGGTTGATATATCGTGCTACTTGGGTAAATGTACACCCTATGAGTTAGTTTTCGGTAGATTACCAAGATTACCTTCAAGTCTACCACTTTTAGAAGAAGAAAAACTCGAAACCTATGATGACTATTTAGTAAAACTAGTTACAAAACTACATGATATTCAATCACTCGCGCAGAAAAATTTAATCGAATCTAAAGAAAAATCAAAAACTTACTATGATCGCAAAGCTAACCCTCAAAATTTTAAAATCGGAGATAGCGTATTTTTATTACAAGGTCCAAAACCGAAAAAGTTAGGTAATCAATATACAGGACCACATGAAGTGTTAGAAATATTAAGTAAAGGAAACATAAAAATTAAAATAAATAAATCACCAAAAATTGTACACATTAACAGACTTCGCTTATCTCATATTCATCATGCTAACCAAAATTAATTTAAACATTTCTATAAAATATAACAAGAATAGTGAATGAATTCAAATCTTAATACACATCCTTCAATATATTCACTAAATACACATAAACAAAACAATTTGCTTTTGTTATATTATTGTTTGCTCTTATAATTATAATTCTCCATTAATACAATTAACTTTTTATTAAAGTAAATAATCCAGTTTTGCATATTCTTAAGCATTAAAATACGAATAAAAAAAGGCATTGTCAGTAACAAAATAAATAAATATTATAAAAAAATATATAATTATCTGTAATAAATACAGATGACTCGAATTTTATATTGAACAACTGGAGTATTTTCTTAAGCATACATTTTAATTTTTAGATATAATAAAAAAGAGACATTAAATAATTGATAATAATATAGAGATATTTCTGTTTCAGGTGATTAAAATATATTATGGACATTCATTATATTAATATTTGCTATTTTTCTTCCAGGATCTATTTTTACATTATAAAATTTACTTTTTTTTTTCTTTTAAATATTTCGTATAAGAAAGTTCCATATTAATATTTTGTTTTTTTTTTTCTAAATTCAAATATTCGAAAATAAAAATAAAAAAAAAAATCAATTTTAAAAATTTTTTTAAACTTCATTTTCTTGAAGTTCGTATCAATACCGAAATTTGATTACCACAATGTGACACGAAATTTTGAGATTTAAAACATGTAAATCGAGATTGAAATTTTTTTTCCCAAATTCAAAATATTCGAAAATTTATATAAAAAAATGCCAGATAAAATCGTCAATATCTCGTAAACTATAAGCCTAATTGAAAAATGTCATCGATTTCAAAAATTATTTATTAAAAAAAAAAAACGAAGAGAAACATGTAGTCTTGAAAATGAGAACAACGTTACCTGATAGAATCTTATATTCCTATAGGTAATATGAACGGGCATGGTAAAAATAAGTAAATTTTCCAATTCGTGTTATGAAGACTTTATCAATCGAATTTAGTTTTCTAAACCAATATATTAATTACCGGAGTCGAGGAATTAAAAAATAGCAATATGTCATTTAGAACATGGAATGATTATATTGAAATTAAAAATTAAAAAAAACGAATTCTATTGATAAAGATAAAAAGAAAGATTGCAACTAATGTCACAATGAGTGTGTAAACAATATGATTGTAATATATCGACACTTAGAGTAAAAAAAGAAAATTTTAATTAAGCAAATGCAGCTTATCTTGTGAGCAATGTTTCGAAAAATATCATATAGCAAGAAATTGTTACAATTAAAAAAAAATGATGAACGAAAATTATCCAATTAATTAATATTAAAGCCAAAATTCTTTAAATCAATGTTGTAAATTCTATTCATGTCAAAACTTCGAATACTTCTCGTTTTTCTCTTAAAGGAGGGAGGGATGTATAAGCTTATGTAAATCTGTTTCAAAAATTATACCTGCGTTCAGATAGGAAAATGTTAGAAAATTTTTTTTTCAGCCTTCCTCCTTTTCGTAAATATATGTGGATGAAAATCTTTAACAGAATTATATAACATTTCAAAAGTATAAATTATGTATGAAAAAAAAAATAATTGAACTCTGTCATCATCAGAATGTAATCTATCCGTATGCACTATGTATTGAAAACTTATATCTTATTCTAAATTAACCAATGTGTAAAGAGCAAATAATAATAATGCATCCTTAAAATCTTCTATAATACATGGTATGAGTGTCTTTATAAATATAATTAAAATTCCTTTTTATATACTACTTCTACTAATTCTGTGAGCTTTTACGAAAGTATTTCAAATTTGTATATGTTTCTATGCATAAGATTTCAATCTCTATGATTAAATCATTTTTAAATCATGTATGATTATTAAATCAAAAATGATAGTATGGGATATGTGTGAAAATCTTTGAAATCATTAACAATAATATTCGTATGTATTTTTCAATATATATAAACTTGTATCTTAACTTGGTGTGAATAAGGTGTGAAACTATATTATGTGTATGACGTATTTTCTCTTAGGTCTTTTAAACAGTGATGTCTAAAAAACGTTACATAATATAATCAAAATTGTAAGTGACATTTCCCTCAAATAACTTAACTCTTCTCAAAAACTGAATTCGTAAATTATTCAATTTCATTTCTAATTTCCGAATTTTAAAGGGGGGAGGTGTCACGTCACCGTAACTTTTACATTCATAATTATAAGAATTCTTTTAATCAATACCGAATTGTATGTCTCTGCGACAAACACCCGTGCCTTTGTTACGCATTTAAATGCCTTTCTCTTATGTAAACTCCCGCCCCATTATCGCGCGACTTAATGTATAAATGACCCTTGCGTTTTGTATCTTCCTATGTCTATATACTGTATTTCTAAAACATAGAAATAAAAGCGAGAAATCTTTTAATTCCCCCCATGTAACGAACACCTGTGGTATCATCACATTAGAAGAACCCTCTTCTTTAACGTTTAACTGAGAGAGAAGGACTCAACATCGACTTCCAAATTAGGGTGAAAAATATATAGCACTACTGTTTTACGAATATTCAGTATAGAAGAACTCAACTTTGGCTTCTAAAAAAAAGGGTGAAAAATATATAGCACTATTCTCTTATATAGAAGGATTCGACATCGGCTTCTAAAAAAAGGGTAAAAATATATAGATATATTCTCTTATGAAAAATTAGGGTGAAAAATATATAGATATATTCTCTTATGAATATTCAATATAAAAGGACTACATTTTTATGGAGAAATCAGTTCTTAAATTATCTTCATACGTTTAACATCAACTTCATTCTTGGTACCAGTCGACGTCTTCCAGTTCAGAAATTACCACCGATACCGCCGGTTCTCAAATCATCTTCATACGTGTAACATCTACCAGTTCAGAACTTTTCATCATACACGGTACCAGTTCACATACGAAATCTAGTACAAGCGTTGTTACTCTGCTCGATTTCATACTCAAGTTCGACTTAGAAGAATCTCTGTGTCAAGTGTTAAAAATTTCTACGTCAAGAAGAGCTGATTCAATCAACTGAACTCCGGACCTGTGGTCATCACCAAGGCCCGTCAACCTTCCTGTGAGCTCTCAAACTATATCTGGTACCAGAAGTTCCTATCATAATCAGGACACAACAGTGGTCCTTTTTCATACATCTTACATCTAAATTTTCAAGGTAAGTTGTAATACTTTTTATCTAAATCCTTCCTAATTCCTTATAAAAATTTGTAGTAACCTTTACATTCCTTGTTGCAGTGGAATGCTGATTTCCCCTTATTTCAAGAATGGTTGCTTCAGGATACTCTCTCTCAAAGATCAATTTTATAACTCTAAATGTTTGTCTAAATAAATTTGTAATCTTGTCATTAAAAATCACTATTCTCTTTCTTTCCTGTACCCTTAGCTCAGAGCCTTCTGCTCTGTAAATGAAACAGGAATTCACTGAATCACCGAGCGGCCACAAATAAAATAAAATATTATTTCTTTAGTTATTTCTCTATTTGAGACGTAACATTACTATCATATAGGACAACAATTTACCAAAGTATGAAGCCAATCCCAGAACATTGACTTTTTGGGCTGGGGCGATTGAAAAAGAATCTCTCATATATGAAGAATAGTACCTTTTTTTAAGAAGCCGTATAGGCAATAGAACCACTAACTATCCTTGCCCTATCCTCCCCTACTACAAAGTTATAATTTTTAATTTATTTATTAACATTCCAAATTAATTTGTTGTATTAATGATAAAACATTTTAACTATTAAAATATGCAATTAGCATTATTTTCAGGTAAAATTTATAAATTATTAATGTTTAATACAATATTTCAGTCAATAGGAATTATTCTCTGTTGTATTAATAATACAGCCATCGATTCATTTATCGCTGGTTTGATAAATGTTGCATCGTGTCAATTTGAAATATTAAAATGGAATTTTTGTTCCATAGAAGAGAATATTGAAAAAGGAAATATTTCATCAAATTTTGAAGAAAAGAATAATAATGAAAATGAAATAATCAATGATCAAATACGCGACTGTATTAAGCATAATTTAGCAATTTTTGAGTAGATATAATTTTTAAAAATAGTTATTTATTACAATTTTTTAAAATAATAAATTTACATTTTTTTTTCTTTTCAAATTCAGTTTTGTTAATGAAATTGAAAATATATTCAGTACTGTGGTTGGATTACAATTAATTTTGAGCTGTTTTGTTATTTGTTTATCAACTTTTTATCTATCGCAGGTATATTATTATAGATTATATTAATAAATTTATTGTTAAGCCAACAAAAATTTGATTGTTCTATGAAAAAAAAGAAACATACAGTAAAACTTTGGGAAATTAAAAAGTGTTGGAAATTAAATTCATACCATGAAATAAATATAAATATAAATAGTTTTATATTTTAATATAAAATTAATTTTTTAAAAAATATTTAAAAATAAATAATGACATATTTTCAAAGAATGCCCACAATTTAAAACAAAAAACATCTAAATGGCACGTAAACTTGCAACAATCTTGCCGCGCAATATTGCCAACCTTGCACGGCAAACCTTACCGCAAGCTTCAAATATCCCACCTGACCCAAGCCTGCATGGTAAGCTTACCGAAAGATAGCAGTGTAAGGTTACCGCAAGATTTTGCAAAATAAGATTATCGCAAGATTGCTCGGTAAGCTTGCACGGTAAGCTTGTAGTAAGGTTGGTTCAAGGTTGCCAAATAACCTTACTTTAAACCTTATAAAAAAGTTTCGTATAATTTATATAATCAAATTTATATAAATTAGACGAAATATTAAAAAAAAAAAATTTTTAGGTTCAAAATAAAGTTATTTGGCAACCTTGCACTAACCTTACCGAGCAATCTTGCGATAATCTTATTGTACAATCTTGCAGTAACCTTACAACCTTACCTTTCAATCTTTCGGTAAGCTTACCATGGAAGCTTGGGTCAGGTGGGATATTTGAAGCTTGCGTTAAGTTTGCCGTGCAAGGTTGGCAATATTGCGCGGCAAGCTTGTTGCAACCTTACGTGCTATATGGGCACATATGCGATTTCTTCCCAGTGTGTACTTGAAGGGTTAAAAAAAATACACCACAATTTACTAGATCATCGTATTTAGTCTACCAAAAAGTATAATCGATAAATGATGAAATTAAAAAATATATCATTAATCAATATTTGTTTGACTCAACTAAATCGATTCTCTATAATTAAAATATATGCTTCTTTCAAGATGACAACATTTACTACAGTGGAATTAATTGGAAATTTTGGCTACGTTTTGACAATGACGTATCAAATTTTTACATTCACATATCAGGGCAATGAATTATATCTTCAAGTATTCGAAATTTTTTTTAAATTTTTAAATCTATTTTAATTTTTTGTTTATATATATATATGAATTCGTTTTTTAATAATATATTTTGCGGAATTAATTTTTTTTCTCGATTCACAGAATGAAAATTTGAGTACTGCAATTTATATGGGCAACTGGTGGAAATTAAATTTAAATTACAAACGTGATTTATATATGATCATGATTAGAACTCGTAGACCACTTATTGTTTCTACAGATTTTCTAATTAAATTATCAATTCCAACATTTATGTCAGTAAGTTTGTTTTATTCACTTTATTCATTCATAAAGTTACAATTTTTAAATAATTATTTTATAAAAATCTGATGTCACGTAGTTTATTATTTTTTATACAATATTACCTGAACCTTATTATACCTATAGATATGTAAGTAAAAATTCAAATAAAAAGAAAGATTCAAAAAAAATTTTAATTTAATATTTGCTTTTTGTTAAAACCGTTTTTTTCATTATAATTAACCCTGATTCGTATCCGGAAATTTGGATATCTCTAGGATGTCCTCAAAATATTTATAGATATCCCTGAGACATCCTATGGATATCCTAATTTCCGGTTATCTCTAGAACATCCGTAGGATATCCCGATTATCCGGATGTTGTTAGGGTAACAATTACATGTTGTTAAAAAAGATCATTATAATTTTTGTTTTTTTTATGAATCTTTTGTTACAGATTATTCAAATGTCATATTCAATGTATATGCTTCTTCGCAGAAAAAATGTCAATTATTAGAAAAGGATTTCGTGTTGCCAAAAAAAAGTCTACATAGTCCCTATATTTTAAAGTTGAAATATTTTTCTAGCTATAGTTTAATTAAATATTATTTTATAAACTTATAGAGCACCAATTAATATTATAAAACACTATCTATATTTTAAAAAATAAATATGAAATTCAAGATAATTACTTTTGTTATAAAATCTGTTTCATTAGAATTATTTTACGTTGCAAAATAATGTATTTTACATAATAATTTTATATGATTCAATCATTCATTTTAATTATTTATTTAATTATAATGATAATAATAATATATTTAATATTCCATTTTCTTTTTGATTTTTAATCTCTTTTTTGTTTGTTAATCTTCGCGAATTATTATTTTCTCGACTTTATTTAAAAAATTACAAACTATAAAAACATATAAGTGCAACTTTCGTAGACGAGTTTATTTTGTCATTATTGCTTTCATTCCATTATTGACTAAAGGGTTAAATTATAAAACAACTCTTGCATTTCTGTACTTGTACATACTTAGTGTAAAAATCGATAACGAGAACAAAACCTGGAATTAATTTTCTTCCTATGAGGAAATTAATTACAGGTCGACATTTCGGACCTTCTGTTCGTTTTATTGATTTGCAAATGTTAATTACAGAGAAGCAAATAGAAGTCTATAGACCGTCTTTTACAATATATGATTAAGAATTTGCAAACATTTCATAATAAGGAACTAAATGTCGATTATTCGATTATACTCGAGCACTAAAATTATCACATTTTTCCTTCTTATTATTCACTTTCTATATTCAATTTTCGTTTAATATATTTCTTTATGAAATATTATCGGATACAAAATAAATTAAATTTAATTCCTTCCAATCATATCGTTATGAAAAATCAAATAGAATATTAGAAGTATAAAAATAGTATAGAAATTAATAAAATGAACTAAAATAAATTCTATTGGAATGTTGAAATTTAAAGAAGGAAACATTCCAACATTTTAAATTCGTATTTTACTTTATAGTGTTAGTATAACAGTTGACAATTATTTTATTCAGAAAAAGTAAAATACACATTTTTTTTGAAGCAAGTCATATAAAAATGGATATTTATAAAACTGATACGTTTTTTAAAAAAGTCAGACCTCATCTTCATATAAAAATTTGTTTGAAAATTTTACGTTATATGGGAACATGGCCACCTGAAACATTAGGTTTTCCTCGTATTTTGTATTTCATTTATAGCTTTTTCTCTTTTCTATTTGTTTTGGGAATTTATGTTTTTGTCGAATTTATGAATATTGCCGTAAATTATAATGATGTCAATAAACTTGCATCAGGAGGTCCTCTATTCATCACTAATGCTTTGAACGCCTATAAAGTAATATTACTTTATATACATTATATATTGTTTAATTTAAAAAAAAAATTTCGAAAAAGAAAAAAAGTATTTTAAATTGCTACGAACCAATAAATACTTATAATATAAATCGTAAATTTGAAAATTTAGTAAATTATTTATTATTTTCTATTTTCTAATTACACTTGTTATCATAGATAACCCTATTTTAAATAGAAAGCAAAGTGGGTCGATTTCTGCACATGTAAATGTATATAGAGTAAATCCCACCGCTGTCACCAATAATAATTTGGTTCGTAACAAAACTAAACTATTTAAAATTAAATAGTTTCTCTTTATTGGAATATTATCAAACAATATATAATAATTAAAGCATTTAATTAGAGAAAAAAATGTTTAAATCCAAAGTCAGTTAATTTGATATTAAAATAAAATTATTTTTTTAATTAATTTAATATTTAAAGTTTATTACATTTATTCGATACCATCGAAGAATATATAAACTCCTATCAGTCATCGACAGTCCTATTTTTACCAATGATAACATAAGGTAAATATTACTTTAAATTAAATTAATCTTAAATTTTACAGTCGATCACAAAAAAGTCGATGATAGGTTCTTTTAATCAATACACGTGTATTATTTTTTGTGGGGTCGCTTCATAACGTCAAAATATTTTCTTAATTTCCCAAAAAATATCGCGGATTTTATGTGACAGGCAAAATTTTATAAATATTGACAGATTTACTTTAAACTTCATCAATTTTTTTTGTGATCCTTTGTTTTTTTAGAATAAAAATGAATATACTTTTAAATTTTATGACTGAATTAATTTTATATTCTAGATACGAAAGGATAGTGTCTTGGTATGCGTGGCAGGGAATCTTCCATTATGGTTTTTATCAAATATTTGGTTTTTTCGCTGTTTTTTTCTGGTCATTTATTCCTATTGCTGGTATTTTGAATGGTGATGAAAAAAAATTGCCATTGGATGGTTGGTATCCTTATGATACAACGCAATCGTTTGCTTTCATTATTACTTGGGCACATCAGGTATCAAATTTGTTTACTTTTTGTAATTATTTTCTCGATTTATTAAAAACACAGGCCGACAAAATTTTGGTTTAAGGGGGGAACACCAGTTGTAACTTTCGAAAAATCGATTTTTTTTTGTGCATTTTCTTAAAGTATACATATTTAGAAATGTGTCTGTAAATTTCAAAGTTGATCCGGTGAAAAATAAATGAGATATACAGAACACTGCAGCGGCGCGTCCCGTGGCTTCATACAAGGTGGCCAGCCATACCTAACCCTAACGACAGATGGCCTTGCTTTTCCTATGATTTAGAAACGGCAACCACTGCGAAAGAGTTATTATATGGTCCAGGAATCGATGACTCTTTGTAACTTGGAAACAAAATTTCTTCTGAACAAAAAAAAGTAAGTTGAAACTTTGAATGCGTTTTTCTCAAAATGACATTTTCCAAGTCGGTGACCACGATTACTCGAATACCATTAAACCGATTTATTTAAAATTTAGTGTGCTTCATTTACACATATAAGTCTAGTTCGTGATCGAAGGATTTTTTTTTTATGCAAAACTTTTTTTTATATAGCTGAAAATCGACCGTATTTTTTTAACGAAAATCATACTTTTGACTTTGACAGGTCAACATTTTGTCAAATTTTTTTTTTTTTAAATCCTTCGATCACGAACTAGATAATCTTATAATAAATGTAAATCAATTTCATTTTTGTATTTCAGACGAAGTATACTTGCAGAATGCTGGTCACCGCAATTCGCCTTTTTTCTTAAGACGCCACTTCAATGGCTCATATCTCCAAAAGTTTTTGTTAAAAAATTTTTTTTTTCTTTTAAATTACAGCTTTTTACATGTACTTTTAACTAATAAATAGTATTCTTTAAAAAGATTCATTGTTCTTTTGAAAAATATTCTTGAAAAAAGCATTTTTTGAGTTACAACTGGTGTTCCCCCCTTAATATTTCGTAACCAAAAACCAGACTATACTTATCCGATACATTTTGACCTGCTGAATCCAAATCTGACTTAAAAATTTATCCAGAAAGTTAGAATTTCGAGATATTCTATCCTAAAAGTGCAAAGTAGATAATACGTTTTTTTTACTATATTTGAGATCATGTAACATCAAGAGATAATTTTTTTTCAAAAAGGTCGTTACAGCATCTGAAAGTACTATTCTTACCCTTTAAAATGCATTTTGAAAATTTAAAAAATCTTTATTTGGCTCGAAGTTACAGTCATTTGAATTTTCTGCTACTACTTCCCAGATTGCACGTAAGCTTGCAGCTCAACCTTGCGGCAAGTTTGCCTCGCAATATTGCCAACCTTGCATGGCAAACTTACCGGAAGCTTACTGCAAGCCTCAAATGTCCCACCTGACCCAAGCAACCATGCGATAATCTTATTGTCCAATCTTGCAGTAACCTTATACTGCAATCTTTAGGTAAGCTTACCATGCAAGCTTGGGTCAAGTGGGACATTTGAAGGTTGCTGCAAGCTTACGTACTATCTGAGAAGTAGTAGCTGAAAATTTAAATGACTATAACTCTGAGCCAAACAAAGATTTTTTAAAGTTTCAAAATGTATTTTAAAAGATAAGAATGGTACTTTTAGATGTTGTAACGACCTTCTTGAAAAAAAATTATCTCTTGATGTTACATGATCTCAAATATAGTAAAAAAAAACGTATTATCTTCTTTACACTTTTAGGATAGAATATCTCGAAAATCTAACTTTTTGGGTAAATTTTTAAGTCAGATTAAGATTCAGCACGTCAAAATAACACATATAGTCTGGTTTTTGATTCTGAAAACTAGGCAAAAATTTTGTCGGCCTGTGTTATTAATGCTAACAACAAAATATTTCAGGCAATAGCAATTATTTTGTGTTGTGTTAATAATTTAGCCATCGATTCATTTATCGCTGGTTTGATAAATGTCGCGTCATGCCAATTTGAAATATTAAAATGGAATTTTACTTCGATAGGAAATAATATAGAAGAAGAAAATATTTCATTTAATTTAAAGGAAAATGAAAATAATAATTATAGGGATAAAAAAATTAATGATCAAATACGCAATTGTATTGAGCATAATTTGGCGATTTTTGAGTAGATATATATATATATTATAATTTTCGAAATTTATTTAATTATTCAATTTATATAATTACTAAAAATTTTATTTTTATTTCCTTATTCAGTTTTGTTAATGAAATTGAAAATATATTCAGTACTGTGGTTGGTTTGCAATTACTTTTGAGCTGCTTCGTTATTTGTTTATCGACTTTTTATCTTTCGCAGGTATTTTATTTGGAATACTATTTTTTTATAATGTTCGTATATCAGTAATTTTTTCGAGTCAATTTTATAATTAAATTATGTTTTTTTTCAATATAAGATGACAACATTTACTCCAGTGGAATTAATTGCAAATTTAGGCTACGTTATGTGCATGACGTATCAAATTTTTATTTACACATTTCTGGGGAATGATTTATCTCTTCAAGTAATCTAAATTTATTTAAAATTCTTATTTTTATTAAAATCGTTTTTTAATTATTTAGCAAATAAATTAATTTTTTTTTTCATTTACAGAATGAAAATTTGAGTACAGCAATTTATATGGGCAACTGGTGGAAATTGAATTTATCATATCAACGTGATTTGTATATGATCATGATTAGAACTCGTAGACCACTTATTGTTTCCACTGATTTTCTAATTAAATTATCAATTCCAACATTTATGTCTGTAAGTTTGCCTTAAACTTTTGACATTAATTCTTCAAGTTTAAATTAATGAAGATTTTTTAAACATTTAAATTTCTTTATATCTCATTTTTGCAGATAATTCAAACGTCATATTCAATGTACATGCTTCTTCGGAGAAAAAATGTTAGTTATTAAAAAGGATTTCGTATTGGCAAAAAAAAATGTCTTTTTAAATATTTTTCTAGCAATATTTATAAAATTATTATTATTATTCTAAGAACTGTTAAAAGACAATTAAAGATAATAAAATCTATATTTTTAAAAATAAAATAAAAATTAAGAATTACTTAATTTTGTTATATAATTTGTTTTGGATATTTTATTAATTTATATTATTATCCATGTCATCTTAATAGTTAAATTTTACTAAATTATAATTTAAATAAGAAAAAAGATTTCTTTGATTCAAAGAAACCAATTTCTTTGACTTGTTTTCTTTCATTCAAAATAAAATTTTCTTTGAAACAAAAAAAGGCTTCTTAGTTTCAAAGAAATTTTCTTTGAATGAAAGAAATTTGTGCATTAAATCAAAGAAATTTTAACATTGGTATAAGGTCAAAGAAACATTTATTTAAATTAAAGAAAAAATTTCTTTGAAACAAATACAATTTTTTTTAAAATCAAAGAAAAATTTGTCAAAGAAATTGATTTCTTATCTTTTTTTCTGTTTGTACATTCTAATATCATTAGATCTGCAATAGAATAGAATAACAAAATTTAAAAAAATATTTAACAAATATTGAAAACTGAAGAATGTTTGATGAAACATATAAATGCAACTTCCGCAGATAAATTTCTATAACTCTAGAGGGTTTTATTTTGTCATTGCTTTCATTCCAATATTGACTAAAGGGTTAAATTATAAAACAACTCTTGCATTTCTGTACTTGTACATACTTAGTGTAAAAATCAATAACGAGAACAAAACCTGAAATTAATTTTCTTCCTATGAGGAAATTAATTACAGGTCGACATTTCGGACCTTCTGTTCGTTTTATTGATTTGCAAATGTTAATTACAGAGAAGCAAATAGAAGTCTATAGACCGTCTTTTACAATATGTGATTAAGAATTTGCAAACATTTCATAATAAGGAACTAAATGTCGATTATTCGATTATACTCGAGCACTAAAATTATCACATTTTTCCTTCTTATTATTCACTTTCTATATTCAATTTTCATTTAGCATATTCCTTTATGAAATATCATTGGATCTAAAATTATATTTAAAATTTTACTATTAAATAAAAGGAAATATAATTGTAAATGATTTTCATTTAAATTTGCTAATCAAAATGAATGTGAAAAAAACGGAAAAAATTCTTAAACCTTATTTTCATTTGACAATTAGTATAAGAATATTACGCAATATGGGAACATTACCACCCAAACTATCAGGTTTTGTTCGATTAATGTTTCTTGTTTACAGTTTTTGCTTCTTTATGTTTACATTGGGAGTCTATCTCTTTATAGAAATTGTTAATATTATTATTAATTGTAATAATCTTACTAAAATTGCTTCCGGAGTTCCGCTTTTTATCACAAATTTTCTACACGCTTACAAGGTATAAAAAAAATTTTTTTTTAATTTACTTTTTCTACAAGTATTTTTAAAAAGGAAATTTCTATTATTGCTGACTTATAGAACACATTCAGAGAAAAATAATATCAGTTTTTGTAGTACTAATATTACATATAAAGTGAAACAATTTTGCGTCTCACTAAAATTGTCCTTTACTACTGATACTTAAAGTATCATAAATTTAATTTTACTGTCTGACTTAAATTGAGTTTTACCACTGAAAATATATAGAGTTGCAGATAAAATTCAAAATGTTATATCTAAATTTATTTGAAACTCACTAAAATTTTTGTCACTCTGACTTAGCTAAAGTAACTAAAGTTTATTATATTGATACTAAAATTATAACAAAATAAAAAAAATATATTGCAGAAAACTCTTATTTGAAGAGAAAGTATTTAAAAGCATAATTTATTTTTTTTCTATTATATAAAATTACTTTTCTTTGAATGTGCGTGAATTTATAATTTTAAATTATACACACTGAAAAAAAGGTTTGGTATTAACAACCAAACGTTTGGTTGGTATTTAAGCAACTAAAATTTTTTTTTTGAATCAACAAAATTTTGGTTGTCCCAATCAAACTTTAGTTAGGACAACAAAAAATCCATTTTTTCTAATTTTGGTTGTGTCAAACAAATTTTGGTTGTGTCAAACAAATTTTGATTGAGACAATTAAAATTTTGTTGATTCAACAAAAAAAATTTTGGTTGTTTAAATACCAATTAAATATTTGGTTGTTAATACCAAACCCTTTTTTCAGTGCATATATGGGTAAATAATGTTTTGCTAAAGACTTAATAAAACATTTTAGACCTTATAATAAAATTGATTATTATACCCAGATAGCACGGAGACTTGCAGCAAGCTTGCCGCGCAAGTTTGCTGCAAGCTTGTCTGAGCTAGCGAAATGTCCCACCCAGGGCAAGCTAGCCGTGAAAGCTTGCTGTAATCTTTCCAGGAAAGGTTGCTGCAATCTTGCCATGAAAGATTTTTACAAGATTGCTGCAAGCATACTAAGAATGATTGCGGCAAGCTTGCCGTGAAAGATTGCTGTAAGCTTGCTACGTAAGGTTGCAGGAGAATATCAACAAGCTTCTGGAAAGGTTGCTGCAAGGTTGCTGCAATTTTTAAAAAATACATTTTAAATTTTAAAAAAATTTATTTGTTTTTTTTTTTAATTTGAAAATCCTTGTGACTTTTATTATTATTAATTATGTCCTGTTTATTTTCCTTTGGAAACTTAACGAGAAAATTTTCGAAACAAATTTGAGGGGACTGGGAATTGAACCCGGGTTCGACAGACACTAACCAAAGACCGTAACCGAGAACCTACTCGACCAACTATCAGAGAATAAAAAAATCTTGTTCTTAACCTTCGTTTTTCAACTCTTTTTCAACTCATAAAAACAGTCGAGGGTTAAGAGCAAGATTTTTTTATTCTCTGATAGTTGGTCGAGTAGGTTCTCGGTTAGGGTCTTTGGTTAGTGTCTGTCGAACCCGGGTTCAATTCCCAATCCCCTCAAATTTGTTTCGAAAATTTTCTCGTTAAGTTTCCTAATGAAAATAAACAGGACATAATTAATAATAATAAACGCCACAAGGATTTTCAAATTTAAAAAAAAAAACAAATAAATTTTTTTTAATTTAAAATGTATTTTTTAAAAATTGCAGCCTTTCCAGAAGCTTGTTGAAATTCTCCTGCAATTTTTCACGGCAAGCTTGCCGCAATCATTCTTAGTATGCTTGCAGCAATCTTGTAGAAATCTTTCATGGCAAGATTGCAGCAACCTTTCCTGGAAAGCTTACAGCAAGCTTTCACGGCTAGCTTGCCCTGGGTGGGACATTTCGCTAGCTCAGACAAGCTTGCAGCAAACTTGCGCGGCAAGCTTGCACGGTGAACTTGCCTCAAGCTTGCTGCAAGTTTCCGTGCTATCTGGGTAATTATAAATAAATTAATATATTTTGCTATTATTTAAAGTTTATAACCATTATTTGGTACCAGCAAAGAATACATAAGCTTCTCTCAATTATCGACAGTCCTATTTTTTCCAAAGATAATGTAAGGTATTATTTTTAAAAGCATCAACAAAAAAAATCTATATTTTTTTTTAGTTTATTTATAATTTTGTTTAAAAAAACAAATTTTTTTCATTTTCTTTTTTTAGAATTTTTTTTTATCATTTTAATATGTATTTTCTTTTTGTATTCTAGATATGAAAGAGGTGGGACATTTCGCTAGCTCAGACAAGCTTGCAGCAAACTTGCGCGGCAAGCTTGCACGGTGAACTTGCCTCAAGCTTGCTGCAAGTTTCCGTGCTATCTGGGTAATTATAAATAAATTAATATATTTTGCTATTATTTAAAGTTTATAACCATTATTTGGTACCAGCAAAGAATACATAAGCTTCTCTCAATTATCGACAGTCCTATTTTTTCCAAAGATAATGTAAGGTATTATTTTTAAAAGCATCAACAAAAAAAATCTATATTTTTTTTTAGTTTATTTATAATTTTGTTTAAAAAAACAAATTTTTTTCATTTTCTTTTTTTAGAATTTTTTTTTATCATTTTAATATGTATTTTCTTTTTGTATTCTAGATATGAAAGAGTAATGTCCCACTTCGCTTGGCAGGGAATATTCCATCATGGTGTTTATCAAATAATTGGCATACTTGGTGTATTTTTTTTGGCATGTATACCAATAAGCTCACTTGTCAATGACAATGAGAGAAGGTTGCCATTGGACGGATGGTATCCGTATGATACAACAAAACCAATTGCCTTTGCTATTACATGGGCACATCAGGTAATTTCGTGCACTGAAAAAAAAAATGTTTTTCACCCAAATAATCAATTACTTGACTATTAGCAAATAAATATTTTCTTGAATCAAATAACTTCTTATTTGAGTCAATTAAATTTCATTTGTTTGAAATACATAATTTATTTGTTTAAATACATAGTTTATTTGATTCAAACAAAAATTATTTTGATACAAATATACATATTTATTTGATAATAGTGAACTAATTAATTATTTGAATTAAATATTTTTTTTCAGTGTACTATTGAGAAAAAACAAGATTTGATGCTGATGCCAGAGTCTAATAGCTTTTTATTTGTTTCATATAAAAAATTCAATTCAGCAGAAATTAAATATTTATTAATTGAACCAAATAATTATTTATTTGAAACAAATAAATATTTATCTCAAAGACCAATTATTTTTTTTTTCAAATGAAAAATCTAATTATTAACAGAAATAAAATTTGTTTGAAACAATATTAAATATTTGTTTTGCTCTTTAGTTTATTGTTCTTTTATTATGTACCAACAAATTTATTTAATAAACAAAATTGTTATTTTTTTGTAACAAAACTAATTTAGTTAAAGGTTTTTTTTAAAAAAAAATAAATAAATAAAACACATATTTTCAGGCTGTGGCAATTGCAATGTGCTGTATCAATAATTTGGCTATCGATGCATTTATTACTGGTCTCATTAATGTGGCCTGTTGTCAATTTGAATTGCTAAAACTGAATATCGCCTCAATAGGTGACAATAGTGAGATAAATAATTTTTCACAAAATTCAGATGAAAAAATTGATGAAAATTTTCAGGATAAAAAAATTAATGACGAATTACGTAGATGCATTGAGCATAATTTGACTATTTATGAGTGAGCATAATTTCACAGAAATTTCATTTGTTATTTCTAAAAATGTTTTTGAAAGTCAAGTTTTAAAATTATATTTTTAATATATTTTTAAATATTAAATTCTTATAATATTAAAAAATATAAAGATTTTTACGAAATCTTAAAAAATGTTTGTTGTTTTTTATATTCAGTTTTATTAATGAAGTTCAAAATCTATTCTGCACTGTTATTGGTTTGCAATTATTTGTTAATTCCTTAGTTATTTGTTTATCAACCTATTCTCTATCACAGGTATGAATTTTTATTTATTTTTTTTTTACCTTTCACTTTTTTTACATATCATTTTAATTAAAATTTTATTGTTTAATTTTAATTTAAAAAAAAAAACAAATCTTTCAAGATGACAACATTTGTTCCAATAGAAATAATTGGATACAGTGGATATACATTGTGTATGACATATCAAATTTTTATTTATTGCCACAATGGAAACGAATTATATCTTCAAGTAATTATTATTGTAATAAAACAAAATTTTTTGCAAAATTTTTTTATGTTTAATATTTAAAATTTTTGTTCACAGAATGAAAATTTAGGTACAGCAATTTATATGGGAAATTGGTTAAAATTGAGAACAAGATTTAAACGTGATTTACAAATTATAATGCTCAGAACTCAGAAACCGCTTATTTTTTACACTGATTTTCTAATTAAATTAACAGTTCAAACATTTATGTCGGTAAGTATATTTGGGGCAAAAATTTTTTTTTTAATTAATTTCTAAATTGAAGAAAAAATTAGTAGGAATCACTTTTTTTTTTACACCTTTCTAGATAATTCAAACTTCATATTCGATGTTTACTCTTCTCCACAGAAAAAATGTCAGTTCAGTTTGAAAAACGAGTCAACTAAAAATAGTCTTAAATAATTATTTTGAATTTTTAACATTATTGAATTTAAAAAAAAATATATATATCGATGTTGATAAATGTATTGTTTTTCTCCTTATTACTCAAGACATAAATATCAGAGCATAATTTTTTTAATTTGGAACATTTAATTGAAATATTTAATATGTTTCGAATATTAAAAAAATATTTTATTCATATTTCATAAATTTCTTTTTTTCTAGATAATTTCATGAATATTTAAATCATAGTAGATAGAAATAGATAGAAATAGTAGTAGATAGAATTTTATTACATGGAATTTTCTTTTAGATGAATTTTCAATTTTGTCCGAAATTGCAAATGGTCCAACAAATAATCGACAGAAAGATTTCGGCGCGATTTTTAAAAGTAACCAATCACAATTTTATGGATAATTTTTGATTAGTTGAGATTTTTAAAATTCGCGGCAAAATCTTTCTATCGATTATTTGTTCGGCCATTTGCAATTTCGGACAAATGAAAATTCAAGCAAATAAAAATTCTGCAAAATAATATAATTCGAACAAATAAAATTCGGCTCAATGAAAATTTAATTTAATTCATTTAAGGTTAAACCATTACAAATATAATAATATATAATAATAATGCAATACGAGTTATAAATATAATAACAAACAAAATAAGATAAACCGAAATATAATAAATATAGAATATCTTCAACCCTTTTCATAACTTTAACTAAAGAGAAAACGTTGAACGTTTGCCATATTGTATGCAAGTTTAACTTGGGTCGATAAGCAAAACAAATTCAACTATATTAGATGTAGACAAATAAATACAGGTTTGACAATATGTAGCTCCGTTTCGCAATATTGATTTGTTAATAATTATATAGAGAAGCTATGGATTGTCTTATTCGTAACCTGTTATTAATATTTGCTATATATATATATATATATATATATATATATATATATATATATATATATATATATATATATATATATATATATATAAACAAAACGAAACTAAGAAACATTTCCTTCCGCATATAAAATTATTTTATAAGACCCATTCAAGAATTGATATTAATCATATTCTTTACTTTCAAACAACTCATTTGATCTTGATTCTAAATTTCTTCAAAATGTTGATCAAAAATTATCATTTAGGATACTAACAATATATTTCAAATTTTTTGTTAAAAAATAAATTATTATTTAAAATGGATGTTCTGAAAGCAGAAACAAAACTAAAAACAGTAAGACCACAACTTAACATAAAAATTTGTCTTAAAATATTACGCGCTACGGGATCATGGCCACCGGAAAATTCTGGTTTTCTTCGATATGTATTTTATGCTTATAGTTTATCCATTTATTCATTTACTTTAGGATCTTTTATTGCTACAGAAATTGTTAATGTCATTTTTAATTATAATGATTTTGGTAAAATTGCCTCGGGTGTCCCTCTATTTCTCACAAATCTTCTACATTCATACAAGGTATTTCAATATAATATGACGCTTCACGAGAAAAGGGACCTTACGTAAAAAAAAAAAATATTTTAGGTTATGTTTGTAATTTTTGAAGTGAAAATAATCACAGAGAATCAATTCTTTTTTGGCGTACGAACCCTTATCTTTTGGAGCGACACATATGGATTATTCTCTCGCATATGAATTAACCCCTTCGCAGTCCAGTTAAAAATCGCTGGTGGGCCTAAAACGGTCCGAAAAAAAAGTTTCCAAAAAAATATGACTTCATCATATTTAAGGTTTTTGTGGTCGCTGAATTCGAATTTGAGGTCAGTTTTTCAAAATTCAAAATGGCGGATGCAATATGGCAGACAAATTTTTAAAAAATCAATCCAATATGCCTGAAATTTGTTACTCGGGGGTTTTTGGGGTCGCTAAATTCAAATTTGAGGTCAGTTTTTCAAAATTCAAAATGGCGGATCCAATATGGCGGACAAATTTTTAAAAAATCAATCCGATTTGTCTGAAATTTGTTACTCGGGGGTTTTTGGGATCGCTGAATTCGAATTTGAGGTCGGTTTTTTGAAATTCAAAATAGCGGATCCAATATGGCAGACAAATTAAAAAAAAAAATTTTTTTTAAATTTGTCCGCCATATTGGAGCCGCCATTTTGAATTTTGAACAACTGACCTCAAATTCGAATTCAGCGACCACAAAAACCCCCGAGTAACAAATTTCAGACAAATCGGATTGATTTTTTAAAAATTTGTCCGCCATATTGGATCCGCCATTTTGAATTTTGAAAAACTGACCTCAAATTCGAATTCAGCGACTACGAAAACCCCCGAGTAACAATTTGTGGTCAAAACGCATTAATTTTTAAATTATCCGCCATATTGGGTTGCCCTATTGGATCCGCCATTTTGAATTTTGAAAAACCGACCTCAGATTCGTAATCAGAGACCCCGAAAACCCCTAAGCAACGAGTTTCATGTAAATCTGATAAATTTTAAGTTTTCATGGTCGCCATTTTGGGTCCGCCATTTTGTTTTTTTGAAATCTGACTTCAAATTTGGATTCAGCGACCCCAAAAACCCCCGAGTAACAAATTTCAGGCGTATCAAATTAAATTTAGTATTATTTTTTTGCGATGGCCATATATGGCCACTTGCACAAAGGTGGCACGACTTTTTCTGGCCACATATGGGCCCTGGACTGTCAAGGGGTTAAGATTGGTCTCACTTTTACAATAAATTATAATTTAGTAACATTCATTTTGCTAATAATAAATAAAAAAAAAATAAAATTTTTGATTCTTTTGCATATCTGAATTTGTGTTGGTCGCAGTCGTTAAGGCGTTCAAAAATCTGAATTAAATTAAGGGCAATGCGCGTCGTACGTTCAATTCCCCCTAGCGTTAATTTTTTTTTTTTCGTATTTACTTCATATTCCAGCATATAAATATTAAATATCTTTAATAAAGAGAAATAGAAAGATGAATAGATAATTTAAAAAAATTTTATAAATTTTTTATTTAAACGAATTTAAAGTGTTTCATCCTTTTTCGAAATCACCGAAGATTAAGAAAACTTCTTGCAATTTTGGACAGCCCAATTTTTGCTGAAAATAATTTTAGGTATATAGACAAATTATATCAATATATTCTAATTAAAATTTCAAAAGTTTATATAATTGCAATATTGTAGAAAAAATTGTAGTTTAAAAAATCCAAAAAGCTTTTTATTATTCTCGTAATTTTTATTTATTTTATTATTTTTTTTTTTTTTGACTTTTAAATTTAAATTTGGATAGTAAATATTTTTTTAATTTTACATTTCTTGTTGTAGATATAAAAATATAATTTCTTGGTATTCCTATCAAGGAATGTTTCATCATGCCGTATTTCAAATTATTTCTTTAACTGCAATTCTTTTTTTGTCCTGCACACCCATACCTTCTATTTTAAATGGCGAGGAGAAAAAATTACCATTAGTTGGATGGTATCCATATGAAATTTCAAATTCTTTAAACTTCATTCTCACTTGGTTACAACAGGTGAAAAAACAAAGAAAATATAATCATTAATTATAATAATTTTTTTTTCTTATTTCTTATTATATCTACGATAATGACATAAATTTCAGACAATTGCAGTTTCATTGTGTTCCATCAATAATATAGCTACTGATAGTTTTGTAGCTGGTTTATTAAATGTTGCTGCTTGTCAATTTGAATTGTTAAAATGGAATATTTCCGCAATTGGCAATAATATTGAAATTCAAAATCAATTATCAAATTCAAAAGAAATAAATCAAGAGGACAATATCATAAATGAAAAATTACATAGATGTATTCAACATAATTTGGCTATTTTTGAGTGAGTCTAACTTTTATTTCTAAAGTGATAAAAAAAAAAAAAAAAATTCTAAAATCAGGCTGTAATTTACACAAAATTTAGTATTATGAGTGAAATTTTTCAGCTATAAAATAATTTTTTTTTCATGTTTTTAGATTTATTGAAGAAATACAAAGTATATTTAGCAATGTTGTTGCTTACCAATTGATTTTCAATTCCTTCGTTATTTGTTTAACAACATATTCAGTGTCGCAGGTATTTTATTAAATTTTATAACGCATTTGCAATAAATAATTATTTCTAATTTATGGAATTATTTAAATTATTTATAAAATATTTCTCAAATTCAAATTTCGTTTGATTTAAAATAGAAAAATATAATTTAAAAAATTTTCATTTCAAGATGCCATCATCTGAGTATATGGGAATGATTGGACAGAGTGCATACATTATAACTATGTCATATCAGATTTTAATATATTGTTGGCAAGGAAATGAATTGTATCTTCAGGTAATAAAATTTTCCTTCATTATTTAAAAATAATTTTTTTTCTCTAAATCCTAAGAATGAAAATGTTAAGAAAAATAATTTTTTCAATCAATCGCAGAATGAAAGTTTGGGAACTGCAATTTATATAGGCAACTGGTGGAAACTGAGTTTAAGAAATAAACGCGATTTGCAGTTTATAATGATTAGAACTCGAAAACCACTTATTGTAACCACGAGTTTTTTAATTAAATTAACAATTGAAACATTTATGTCCGTAAGTTGGGGAATAATTTTTAATTTATTTTTTTTTATTTATCAAATATATTCGAAAATATTTTAAATTGTAATAAAATTTAGTAACATGAAAATTAAATTCTAAAAATTAAATTTAAACTTACTTAATTCATTTGAACGTTCAGAATTTCAGGCATATATCACGTTAAAAGTTTTGTGTTGGTCCCGAGACTTTTTTAAAGATAAATAAATGTAAGAATTTTTTTTTATGTTAAATAATAATTTTTTTTTCTACAAATTAAAGTCAGTTGACAACGAGCTAATTTAGATTTGACTTTGTTCATAAGTAAGTAAGTAAGTATGGGTGGGGCAAATAATAATGAGAGAGGGAGGCTTACTTTTGTTTTCCCCACTCTTACTCAATGTATAGAAGAAGTATTAAAAAATAACTAAATGTACATGTTTTAACCAAAGAATAAAAAAATCAATCATTAAAATATTTATCATTAAAATTATAGTTTTACCACCAACGAAAAACTTTTAGTGTTATAGTGAATACAGGTAAATATTCACCAACTCTCTAAATTTAAAATAAGTAAAAATTTTAAATAATTCGAATTAGTGTCTTACTTTTCGCTTTTGAATTAGTTAAATTTTACTAATTCAAAAGCAAAATCTGAGTCACTAATTCAAATTAGTTAAAATTTTTACTAATTCAGATTTAAAGAGAAATTTATGGGTTTGGTTTATATTTCAATGTAAAAAACTTTATTAACTCTCGAAAATACATAATCAGGACAATATAATTAATACCTCATATAAAATGTAAAAAAAAAAAAAATTTTACCGATGTATAATTATTATTTTTACAGATAATGCAAACGTCGTATTCTATGTATGCTTTACTTCGGAGAAGAAATACTTAAGATTCACTAAAATTGGATTTTTTTTTATAGCTGGAAATGTGTCTTCAAAATGTCTATATTGGTTACAAATAACTGATAATAAAATTTATCATATAAATACAAAATTAAAATAAAATTTTTTCATAACGAATCGAAAACAAATTTTCGGTTATAGTGGTATTTTAAATTTATATTTCGTTATCAAATAAAATGAATATTAATTTTTATAATTGTAAAAAAATCATTCTACAGAAAAAAATTATTCAAGTCAAAAAATATTAACTTAATTTTTTGTAATAAAATTTTTCCAATAAATTCAAATATTTACCTTAATAACGAATTTTCAGCTTCAAGGAGATTCTTTCAAACTAAATAGCCCTCAGAGATCCCTACTTTCAAGTTAAATTTCCATTTAGAAAATGTGAAAAATAACAGTCAAAATAGACCTAGTTCTAAAAAGTCTGTGTGAATTCTTATCTTTGAAGTACGTGACACCACAAGCCATCGAGGATAGAATCTGCAAAAAGAAAAATTAAAATACTGTCAGCGCTATACTAACATGTAGTTAAATCTTTAAACGGTCGGTAATATATAGAAAGCTATAAAAAATTTCATTTACAAATTTGACGAAAATAAGTGTGGCATAGAGACTAAACCCTAAAGTAATCGAATACACAGAAAATTAAAAGGCATTAAAATAAGCTGCAACGCTTATTATTTTAATCCAATTTTGCTTATTTTAATACCAAAATGGATTAAAATATAAGCAAAATTGGATTAAAATAATAAGCGTTGCAGCTTATTTTAATGCCTTTTAATTTTCTGTGTAACACAAAAATCTTGAAAATATGACTTATATAGTTTTCGAGAATTAAGCGTCGATGTTAATGCCAATTTTTTTGACTTTACATTGTCTTAGTTTCATCCCTTTAATTTGCTATATAACTAAAATAAAAGATAGATATATAGATAACATCGAGCGTTAGTTGAACTAGGATCGATAAACAAAACAAATCCTGCTATTAAACGAAGACAAATAATTACAGGTTTGACAATTCGTAGCTTCGCTTCCTATCGTAGCATTGATTTTTTAATTACATGAAGGCAAAGAGAAACTATTCATTGTCTTTTACAATCTGTAATTATAAATTTGCTATAGAAAACAAAACAAACCTATACAGAATTATTTGATAAAACCCTCTCATAACTTCTTACACTGTTATTCTAAAAACAATTCTCCGTAATTTTGATTTTAAATTCCATTACGATTTCGTAAATTCTTATTTAGCACAGTACCAATGAACTCAAAAATAGACTATTCATTTCAGTTACTTTATCAAAAAAAAAAAATTATTTAAAATGCATGTTACTAAAGCAGAAACAAATCTGCAAATAGTAAGACCACAACTTAATATAAAAATTTGTCTTCAAATTTTACGTGCTACAGGTTCTTGGCCACCAGAAAATTCTGGCTTTTTCCGATATATGTTTTTTGCTTACAGTTTGTGCATTTATTCATTTACTTTAGGATCTTTTATTGCTACAGAAATTGTTCATGTTATTTTGAATTATAATGATTTTGGTAAAATTGCCTCAGGTGTCCCTTTATTTATCACAAATCTTCTACATTCATACAAGGTATTTCATACAATATCACAGAAAATTAAAAGGCACCCAAGAAGCACGTAATATATCCTCAATATCAAGGTAATATTACACGTGAGATTCGTAATATAACGCTGTAATATTACAGTAATCTTACAGTGATCTTAAAATGTCCGCCTCAAGATAATATTACCGGGAATATTACTGTAATATTAACGGTAATATTACAGTAATATTACAGACTGATTTGAGTTATTCATAAAGCATAAAAAACGTAAATATATTATAAGTCAATTTGGCTTGTTGGTAAAACTCTGGACTCGTGTGCTTTGAGTTCGGGGTTCGATTCCCTGGATGGGTAGATTTTTTTCGTAAAGAAATATTCCCATAATATTACTGTAATATTCTCTTGTAATATTGCCTTAATATTACGGTATAATATTACTGCAATATTACCCAGTAAAAAAAGATTTATTGAGCAAGCGATTTGGCTGATTGAGCAAGCCGTCTGCCCAATTGTCTAAACGACATTCGGACAATTGGACTGTTTGCTCAATCATCCAATGCATTATGCCCAATCACCAACATTGTATTTCGCGTCTAATAAAAGAAGAAATCGGTCCGAGTGTTGAGAAAATGATAAATCATGAATAATTATTGTTAAAAAGCAAGAAGTAATATATAAAAATACCTGAAATAAGAATAAATAACGAGTTTTGTAAAATGTTATTTTTTAGTTGACAGTGCACTGATGTAATATGAATTTTGTCGGTAAAAGTGAGGAGTATGATAAAGAGAAACGTTTCTTTATCGACTCGTGATACATTTCAATTGATAATAAAAAATTGTAGATTTCTTGTTTTTTTAAAAAATAAGGAGAAATTTCAATTGAGTATTTAAAAATAAATTTTAATTGATTTAATTTAATTTAATTAGTGGATTAATGAATCAGTGAAGTGAATTAAATTAAATTAGGTTAAATACATTGAATAGTGGTAAGTAATTATATTTTGTAAAATTATTATTTATTAATAGAATTATATTCTTTGTTAATTTGTCTAGTATTATTCTTTTTACAAAAAAATAAGTATAAATAAAAACTGGTAAGTAAAATAATTGAATTTAATAATAATATATTTATATTATTAAACTCAATTAATTAAATAAAATAGGATTTTTATTAAAAGAATCAATAAATAGGAGATTTAAATTAATCCAATTATTTTAAAGAAAATTTTTTTTTATATATCAAGGATCAAAATATAATTAATAATAATATAATTAATAATCCTATTTTATTTAATTAATTGAGTTTAATAATATAAATATATTATTATTAAATTCAATTATTTTACTTACCAGTTTTTATTTATACTTATTTTTTTGTAAAAAGAATAATACTAGACAAATTAACAAAGAATATAATTCTATTAATAAATAATAATTTTACAAAATATAATTACTTACCACTATTCAATGTATTTAACCTAATTTAATTTAATTCACTTCACTGATTCATTAATCCACTAATTAAATTAAATTAAATCAATTAAAATTTATTTTTAAATACTCAATTGAAATTTCTCCTTATTTTTTAAAAAAACAAGAAATCTACAATTTTTTATTATCAATTGAAATGTATCACGAGTCGATAAAGAAACGTTTCTCTTTATCATACTCCTCACTTTTACCGACAAAATTCATATTACATCAGTGCACTGTCAACTAAAAAATAACATTTTACAAAACTCGTTATTTATTCTTATTTCAGGTATTTTTATATATTACTTCTTGCTTTTTAACAATAATTATTCATGATTTATCATTTTCTCAACACTCGGACCGATTTCTTCTTTTATTAGACGCGAAATACAATGTTGGTGATTGGGCATAATGCATTGGCTGATTGAGCAAACAGTCCAATTATCCGAATGTCGTTTAGACAATTGGGCAGACGGCTTGCTCAATCAGCCAAATCGCTTGCTCAATAAATCTTTTTTTACTGGGTACTGTAATATTACCTTAATATTAGCGCGTAATATTACAGTAACATTACCGGTAATATTACCTTGAGGCGGACATTTTAAGATCACTGTAAGATTACTGTAATATTACAACGTTATATTACGAATCTTACATGTAATATTACCTTGATATTGAGGTTATATTACGTGCTTCTTGGGCATTAAAATAAGCTGCAACGCTTATTATTTTAATCCATATTTTGCTTATTTTAATACCAAAATGGATTAAAATAAGCAAAATTGGATGAAAAAAAATAAGCGTTACAGCTTATTTTAATGCCTTTTAATTTTCTGTGATATAATCAATTTTATTGCATATGATTTTTCGAATGATTATGAATTTTTATAAGTCTAAGGAAAAATAATGTATATATATTTGAATTAATAATTTAAATCATTTTTTTAATCTCTTACTGCCAAAAAGAAGTTATATAATTTTGAAAATTGAAAAATGAATTGATTTTCCTTATTAGTGATTTAGAATTAAATTAATAATAGTTATTTATGATACAAGTGCGTAAAGTTAATGATTATACGAGTGTGACTTTTCACACGAGTATAATCAGATTTACGCACGTGTATCATACAACATTTTTTTCAACACCCACCTCTAAAGTTAAGTACCTATTATGAAGAATTCCAACTCTCTATTAGAATAATTTCGATATATAAAAAAAAAATCAATCGAAGATCAGAAAAAATATCATTAAGCAGGAGTGTATAATTTAAAAGTAAAGTTCTTTTTTTAATTTTGTGGTTTTGTATGGTCAATCCAAAAAATTTTGTATAACAATCCTTATATTATGTGAGAAACATTTCGGTGCGTAAAGTAAATTTCAGTGCGTAAAGTGAATCACTTTACACACCGTTTGAAAAAGAGCTTCTTTACACACAATTGTCGGTATGTAAAATTTAACTTTAGAGGTTAGTGTTGCAAAAAAATATTTTCATCACTTTAAAAAGAAAATTTTCTCTTTATCTGTGAGGCATTTAAAAAAAAATTTGAATTTTATAATTTTTCATTTAAACTAATTTAAAGTGTTTCATCCTTTTTCGAAATCATCGAAGATTAAGAAAACTTCTTGCAATGGTGGACAGCCCAATTTTTTCTGAAAATAATTTTAGGTACAGAGAAATTTTACAGATGTTATTTAATAATTTTAAATTACATAATTATGAATGTAGGGGGTTGTCGTTGTAGGTACGTTTGTAACATATATTTTAATTTTTTTCCATAATTTCCGTTGTAGTTCGAATTTCGCGTTTTGTATCATTTATGCGGTTCAAAAGATTTTTCCAAATTTCATGTTTTTGCTGAACATTGAAAAATGATTGGATCTAAAGTTTAGGAGTTATAAACATTTGAAAATAAAATTTAGTCTGATTTATTTTATATTCTGCTTTGTAAAAAGCAGAAATAAACGCGGTGTATCCATCTTAGACGATACTCCCCTAAAAGAAGGTTGTGTATTTTAAAATTAAAAAAGGAGAACTTAACGACTAAAATTAAATCTTTCTAATATTTGCTTTTCTTGTTGTAGATATAAAAATATAATTTCTTGGTATTCCTATAATGGAATTTTACATCATGTCGCTTATCAATTTGTTTCTTCAGCAACTGTTATTTTATGGACTTGCACACCCATTCAAGCAATTTTAAATGGCGAGGAAAAGAAGTTACCCTTAGATGGCTGGTATCCTTATGACATCTCAAATTCTTTTAACTTCAATTTAACTTGGTCACAACAGGTGAGAAAAGAAACTCTAAAGAATTAGTTAATAGTCACTAATTATCAATAAAATCATGGGCAAATTTCACTAATTGAACTAAACTACTATTTCACTAAAATTTTGAGTTTATTTTTACATGTCAGATTTTCTAATTTGGATAGTCACTTGCCAATATTTGAATTGATTTTAATTAAATTTCAGGCAATTGCAATTATGTTGTGTTGCATCAATAATGTGGCTACTGATAGTTTTATAGTTGGTTTATTAAATGTTGGTTCTTGTCAATTTGAATTACTAAAGTGGAATATTGCCGCTGTTGGAAATTGTAATGAATGTCTAGCAGTAAATCAAGAGGACGACAGTATAAATGAGAAATTGCACAGATGTATTGAACATAATTTGGTTATTTTTGGGTGAGTCTGACTTTTAAATTTTTTAACATACTCACGTGCAGAAATGCCCTTCCTAGAGAAACTGACTAGTGTCAGTGTTTCGTTATCAGTTTCGTTGGTCCCAAATGACTGATTTTACAATTTTCTATATCTTATATTCTATTTAAAATAATTAAATAAAATACAAAAATAATTTTTAAAAACCTCTCATACCAGAGGGATCGAAACCTAGGACCAAAGCCCCATTTTAAATTAAGACAAATTAGGGTAATTTCTGCACGGGACATTTGATAAACTTTTTCTACTATAAATTTTACATTCATTATATGTTTAGATTCATTGAAGAAATACAAAGTATATTTAGTACTGTTGTTGGTTATCAGTTGATTTTTAATTCCTTAGTTATTTGTTTAACAACATATTCAATGTCTCAGGTATTCTATTAAATTTTCATACATTTACACAAATAATTATTATTCTCTCTAAATCTGAATTAGTAAAAATGTTTACTAATTTAAATTAGTAACTCAATTTTTGCTTTTGAATTAGTAAAATTTTACTAATTGAGAAGCAAAAAGTGAGTCACTAATTCAAATTAGTAAACTTTTTTACTAATTCAGATTTAGAGAGTTTGTATATTATAATATTAAAAGTATACAACATAATAAATATATGTATTTAAATTATTATAACCGTGTTCAATTATTATCCTCAAAAAAAAAATTTTAAATTCAAATTTTGTACTCTATTGAATTTTAAAAATTGTTTCAAGATGACATCATCTGAGTTTGTGGGAATTATTGGACAGAGTGCATACATTATAACTATGTCATATCAAATTTTAATATACTGTTGGCAAGGAAATGAATTGTATCTTCAGGTAATAAAATTTTCCTTCATTATTTAAAAATATTTTTTTCTCTCTAAATCCATAGAATGAAAATGTTAAGAAAAATAATTTTTTCAATCTATCGCAGAATGAAAGTTTGGGAACTGCAATTTATATAGGCAACTGGTGGAAATTGAGTTTAAGAAATAAACGCGATTTGCAGTTTATAATGATTAGAACTCGAAAACCACTTATTGTAACAGCAAATTTTTTAATTAAATTAACAATTGAAACATTTATGTCCGTAAGTTAAGGAATAATTTTTATTATATTTATAAATAGTTTATAATTCATTTACTAGAAAAAATTTAAAAATTAATTTTTACTAGTAATTAACATTTCATGTAAAGAAAATTTGTTATTTTATAATTATTATTTTTACAGATAATGCAAACGTCGTATTCAATGTACGCTCTACTTCGTAGAAGAAATACTTAAAAATTTAATAAAACGGAGTTTTTTTTTAAAAAAATATGTCTTCAGAAAGTCTATCTTTTATTTCATTCCTCACAAATAACGCCATTTTCATAAATATAATTTAAAATTAACAATCGTTACAGATTTTTCATAATCGTATTTTTATTTGTCAATTTTTACTTAAAAGATCCCTGATTAAAATTTCGTACTGATTCCGGATTAAATTCGAACAGATTAAACTGGAAAATGCACGAAAACAATCCGAAAATGATCCGTATCAGTGCGAACAAATTGACAAATCTGAAATGAGCACGAAACGGTCTCATTTTTTGATGCAAAAAATTTAATCAATTTATATTAATCATGGCCGAATTGAATCGACTCAAAATTAAACGAATTTTTTTCAGATATTTTGGTAATAGTACAATTGCGGAGACCATTTCACTATTTAATGTGAAAATGAAAATAACAGAAAATCAAAGACAATGTGCAATTCGATAATTAAAAAGTGACAGCTTATAAACATAACCTTAAATGCATGAGAAAAAATTTGTCGATAAAATCAATATAGCCGAGCTTTTTAGAAGGTAGATGGCAGTTTTGCTTTTTATAAAAACGATTCAGAAAAAATTTAAAGAAAGAAAATAGATGAGTGCTGCCATCTAACTTCTAAAAAGCTCGGCTATATTGATTTTATCGACAAATTTTTTCTCATGCATTTTAGGTTATGTTTATAAGCTGTCACTTTTTAATTATCGAATTGCACATTGTCTTTGATTTTCTGTTATTTTCATTTTCACATTAAATAGTGAAATGGTCTCCGCAATTGTACTATTACCAAAATATCTGAAAAAAATTCGTTTAATTTTGAGTCGATTCAATTCGGCCATGATTAATATAAATTGATTAAATTTTTTGCATCAAAAAATGAGACCGTTTCGTGTATCATTTCTAATAATGATACACAAAACGATCTCTTTTTGATATAACTTATGTGCATCAAAACGTTGCAAAAAGATACAACCAAGTTTACTGTGAGTCCAAAATATTCTGGAATTTACATATGAAATCAATTAGTTCTCAATAATCCCTGAATTTAATTCGATCAAAGAATTTAATCCGATATTAGTCAATCCGTAATTTTTTTTTTGTATGCAAACAATATGCAATAATTCAAATTTTGTCCGATTAAAAGAAATTAATCCAAAATTAATTCGAAAAATAACTTTTATATGAAAAATTTGGTATTATTTAGGGGGCGTTCATAAACTACGTAGCATGTTTAGGGGGAGGGGGGGGTTAAGCGAAATTCTACCTTAGTCTACGTGGAGGGAGGGGGGTGTCGACTCTAAGGGCGCACTCACACCTTTTGGCTGCCTGCAGATTACCATGGCAACGCATGAGAGTGAGTGCGACAGAAAATTTAAAAATTTGAATATTCAAATTTTCTGTCTCACTCACACTCGTGCGTTGCCATGGTAACCTGCAGGCAGGCAGGCAGCCAAAAAAGGTGTGAGTGCGCCATAACTACGTAATATATACTAAAATTAATTTCTTTGCTTTTTTAAAATTGCGCGGGAGTTCGAACTTCACAGAAAATTAAAAGGCATTAAAATAAGCTGCAACGCTTATTATTTTAATCCAATTTTGCTTATTTTAATCCATTTTGGTATTAAGGGGACTTTCTGGTTTAGAATTGACAAAAAAGGAAGGTTTTAAAACTTTTATCGTAAGAACAGTATTAAAGAAATTGTAAAAACTATTTTTGGACATTGTAGCACATTGCGTAGAGAAAATTTAAAAAATATGTTTGAGTGTATTTAGTTCAATTTCATAGCTGTAGGTGGCGTCTTCCAAAAGATACCTTTTTTTTGGTACGTTAGTTTCCGGGCAACCTGTAATACATAAATTCAAGTTCCAAACGGGAATCTCTTCATAAGGATTTATTCTGGGGCCTAAACCTCAAAAACGATTTTTTTTAAAGGTTTTTTTATTTTTTATGTACATTTTTCTCAAAAACTAACAAAAACGCCGTGTTTTTGGGTCAATTTACCTCCATATAAAAACACAGGGGGTAGAAATATGAGTTTTTAGAGGTTTAGGCCCCAGTTTTTTAAATAAAGAATCGAAAATTTTTTGGGATTTCAAAATCGGTTCGGTAGATTTTGAGAAAAGCTCTGTACCAGTTTGAAAAATGAGTTTTCGAGAAAAACGCGTTCAAAGTTTTTATAACATAGTTCATTGAGTCATGAATATCAAACAACTTTTTATTACAACAGAACTTCGTATCCCGCTGTTTTTAGGGTCGCTGATTACGAATTTGATGTCCGTTTTGGAAAATTCAAAATGGCGGATCCAATATGGCGGACGAAAAAATAAAAAATCAACCGAATTTGCTTAAAACTTGTTACTCGGGGGTTTTTGGGGTCGCTGATTACGAATTTGATGTTCCTAGAACGATAATGTTTTGTGCCTATATTCATAACTAGCAATCTCAAAAGGCCACAAGTAACCATTTTCAACTAAATTTAATTAATTTCTTAATCTTTGTCCGCCATATTAGATCCGCCATTTTGTATTTTCAAAAACTGACATCAAATTCGTAATCAGCGACCCCAAAAACCCTCAAGTAACATGTTTCAAGCTAATATCAATAAAAGAGGAACACCAAATATGTAAATAAGATAACTGTAGATTGTTGTTGAAATACATACCGTCATAAATATTGTTATAACTTTTGTTTTTGTACATATTTTTTTAAAAACGTTTTGGGACAGTAATTCTATGATACTATGGAACATTTTTAAGCAAAAAAAAAAAAATCGATTTTTTTGAAATTCTAAACCAGAAAGTCCCCTTAAAATAAGCAAAATTGGATTAAAATAATAAGCGTTGCAGCTTATTTTAATGCCTTTTAATTTTCTGTGTTCTAATAAAAAAGACAGAGGGACTTACACGACTGGTTAGTTTCACCGTTTACCGAAGATCTCTAAAAAAAAATTTTAAGAAAATTTTAAAAAAATGTTATCTTCGTATTAAAAGATTGTTTGTATTTGTTGATTTTAAACATTTCTATATGTAAAGAATAAAATATTTTATTCAGATTATTTTACTGTTTTTAATTGACTTGTTTGTATAATATGCGAATATAATTAAATATGTAGTAAAAATGCATATTAAAAAAAAACTACGTGAAACACGGGGGGAGGGGGGGGGGTGTTCATCAAAAGTCTACGTTAGTCTACGTGGGGGGAGGGGGGTGTCAAAAAGTCACAAAAATAGGTCTACGTAGTTTATGAACGCTCCCTTACAAAAAATTGAGATTTACTCTGGTCAAAAATCCTAATTCGAAATGAGTTCGGAAAAATTTGGAATTTGTATTTTAACTAATCAGCAGTCGGGCCGCACAACAATTTGTACATAGGAGTTCGAAATAATTCGAAATTCGTATGTAAAAAATCCGGTTTTAGTCTGTTAAAAAATCTTAGTCCAAAATTATCAAGAATCATTTGGAATTTTCATGTATAAAATCAGCAATCATAAACAAATTAGATTTAGTTAAGGTAAAAAATCTTAATTTGAAATCTGTACAAATTTAGTATATTAAGTTCGCAATAATTTGCATTTAGGTAGGACAAATTATCCGCAGTTTTTCGAGGCTCGCGCACATAAATACGAATTTTTTAAACCTACAGATTTTGAATTATTTTGAATTTATTTCTGATTCAGATTTTTGTGCGGATTGTCTACTAATTTTTTACCGTTTTTACCTACAAATTCGAGATTTTTACAGTTAAACACTTTACCTGAATTCAAGACAAAAAGATTTTGATACTAATATAATGTTGTTATATGTATCTTTAAATACTATTGCATGGCATAGTCTTGTAATGAAATGGCAAATAATAAAGTTGAAGATTGTCTAGAGTTTAACTTCCGTTATTGTGGCAAAATACTTCTAAAACTTTATATTATCTTAGCTTCAATTCTTCAAATTTCCATAACTAAACTAAAGTGAGAATATATAGAAAGTGTTGAGCGTTTGTTAAACTTGGGTCGATGAATAAAACGAATCATGTTATTAGATGGAGACGAATAATTACAGGTTTGAAAATTTGTTATTCCGCTTCGACAATATTGATTTTCTAATTGTAGAGAAGCAATAAGAGAAGATATAGAATGTCTTATTTGTAACCTGTGATTAATATTTTCTATATATATATAAACAAAAACGAAACCAAGAAACATTTCCTTATGTAAGATTATTTTATAAGACCCTTCAAGAATTGCTTAGTCATATTCTTTACTTTCAAACTATTATCTAATTTTGAAGACTTCTTTTCGATTTGAAATTTTGAAAATTGATAATGATCATCTAACAATAATAAACAGTATAGTTAAATAGACTATACGTAAATATTTCACTTGAAACAACTTATTAAAATGGATGTCCTTAAAGCAGAATCAAATCTACAAATAGCAATACCTCAATTTAATATAAAAATTTGTCTTAAAATTTTACGTGCTACAGGATCATGGCCACCAGAAAATTCTGGCTTTTTCCGATATTTGTTTTATGCTTATAGTTTATGCATTTATTCATTTACTTTAGGGTCTTTTATTGTTGCAGAAATTGTTAATGTCATTTTTAATTATAATGATCTTGGTAAAATTGCTTCGGGTGGCCCTCTATTCCTCACAAATCTTTTGCATTCGTACAAGGTATTTAAATTTTAATTGATTTTATTACTATTTATGATTTTTAAATTGAATCAAACTTTTTCAAGTTATAATAACCCTATTGAAAATTCCTGTACACGATTGAAGAAAATGTACAATTTCGGCATCATAATTGTACAACAAAATATATACAGGGATTTTTAATAGGGTAGCATGTGATTGTTATACTTAGATCCACAATTCACTATATTTTACAAGAAAAGTGGTTGAAAAAAATTAATAAATATTGTACACCTAACAATCACATGCAGATAATGAAACTTTTTCGATTGTGAGTTTTTAAATATTCAAAATACTATAGGAAAAATATCGGATTTATTTAATTTTTCATTAATTTATCAAAGTGTTTCATCCTCTTTCGAAATCATGGGAAATTACAAAAACTTCTTGCCATCGTGGACAGCCCAATTTTTGCTGAAAATAATTTTAGGTACAGATAAAAATTAAGGAGATGTTAATTAATAATTTTAACATGACTGCGATTATAAGTAGTATGCAGTATAGGTTGTATCTTATAATTAAAAAAAAAAAGAGAACATTGTATACTCTTCTTTACTATTCTGGTATTTAAACTTTTTTTAAATGATTTAATAATTTCTATATCTATATCTGATATTGTGTATTACATTTTTTTTTAAAATATATTATATACATTTCTTGTTGTAGATATAAGAATATAATTTCTTGGTATTCTTATCAAGGAATTGTTCATCATATCTTTTATCAATTAATTACTGTAATAACTATTGTCTTATGGGCCTGCACACCCATTCATGCTATTCTAAAAGGGGAGGAGAAAAAATTACCTTTAGATGGATGGTATCCTTATGACCTCTCAAATTCATTAAACTTCATTTTCACTTGGTCACAACAGGTGAAATAAAAAAGATAGTTTAGTAATTATAATATTATAATTTTATGTATAAACTATTATTATTTTAATAATTTTTGGCATTTTAGAATAGGAAAAAATATATAGGTACAACATCTTTTTTTAACGATTTGAACCGGTTTCTTCATAAGAATTTTAGTTATTTATGATAATAATAAACAATTTAATATTCAGTACTTTAAATTTTGAAAAATACAATTACAGATTAAATAAAAACAGTTAAATATCGTCAAATTTTGACAATGTAAATTTTGAGTATCAATAGGATTTACTCACAATGATGCTTAAAATTTACATTGTCAGAATTTGACGATATGTAACTGTTTTTTTTTATCTGTAATTGTATTTTTAAAATTTTCAAGTACTAAATATTAAAATGTTTATTATTATCATAGGTTACTAAAATTCTGATATTAAAAAAAGAAATATATTTTTTCCTGTTCCAAAATGACAAAATTTATTAAAATAGTAATTTATTTATGGGAACAAAATATCGATGAATATTGAATAGATTATTATATAATAATATTATTTTTATTTTATTTTATTTTATTTTATGAGTCAATATTATAAATATTTGTTAAATTTCAGGCGATCGCAATTTTGTTGTGTTCCATCAATAATATAGCTACTGATAGTTTTATAATTGGTTTGTTAAATGTTGCTTCTTGTCAATTTGAATTACTAAAATGGAATATTTCTTCTTTTGGAAATTGTAATGAATCTCAAGAAGTAAATCAAGAGGACAATGGCATAAATGAGAAATTGCGCAGATGCATTCAACATAATTTGGCTATTTTTGAGTATTAGTCTAACTTTTTAAATATATTAATTTTTAATTATAGATTTTCTATTAGAAATTCTACATTCATCATGTGTTTAGATTTATTGAAGAAATACGAAGTGTATTTAGTACTGTCATTAGTTTTCAGTTGATTTTCAATTCCTTAGTCATTTGTTTATCAACATATTCAGTGTCACAGGTATCATATTTTTTTATGTTTGCACAAATAATTATTCATATTAATAAATAATTTAACTCATTCAATTGTTTGAATAGAAATTAATATTGAGCAAAAGAGGAACGCAAAATTATCTTCAACTATTTTTTAATTAAAAATTTTATGCACTCAGAAAAAAATTCGTTTGAAGCAACCAAATTTTAGTTAAATCAACAAAATAAATGCATTGATATACAGCTATAACCAAACATTTGGTTGCATAAACCAAACGTTTATTTAGCTCAATCAAATTTTTTCTTTGTTCAAAAAAATTTAGTAAAATAAACCAAACAGTTATTTAGATCAAATAAATATTTATTTGAATTAAACAAATTTTGTTTGAACTATAACCAAAAAATTTCAATTCAAAATCACTTGAAATTCAATTATTTTCAAAATTTTAAATTCAAAACCTTTTAAAATTTAATTAATTATTTTTAAAATTATTCATCTAAAACTTCGTGAAATTTAATAATTTCAAATATGATTCTTCCAAAATTCAATTATTTTTAAAAAATTTTATCTAAAATTATCTGACAAATTATATTTTCAATTCTGTAAAATTTTATTATTGTCTGAAATTTAACAAAATCTTTTAAAATTTAATTATTTTTAAAAATTTCAACTGTTACTCTTTAAAAATTCAATTATTTTTAATAATTTTAATATTTCTTTAAAAATTCAATTATTTAAAAAAGTTTCAAATAAAAACTCTAAACTTGAATTGTTGTCAGAAATTATAAACAAAAGCTACAACAATTTAAATTTACAAAAATTTTATTTTAAATTTAAAATCTGCAAAAAATATAATTTCTAAAATTTTAGAATTGATTTTAAAAATATTTTCCTTTCAAGATGCCATCATCTGAATTTGTGGGAATAATTGGACAAAGTGCATATATTATTGCAATGGCATATCAAATTTTAATATATTGTTGGCATGGAAATGAATTGACTCTTCAAGTAATAAATTTTTTCATTATTTAAATTTTTTACTTCTTGTTTGTGGAATAAAATTATTGTTAATTTTTTTTTTAGAATGAAAGTTTAGCGACTGCAATTTATTTAGGCAACTGGTGGAAAATGAATTCACGCATTAAACGCGATTTGCAATTTATAATGATCAGGACTCGAAAACCACTTATTATAACTACAAGATTTTTAATTAAATTAACAGTAGAAACATTTATGTCCGTAAGTTTGTGAGAAATTTTGATTTTATTTAGATTAATAATTAAAAATAAATTTTGATATAAAAGGCAAAAACTGAAAATCAGTATTATTAAAATTTGTCATAATATGCATATGTAATTATTATTTTTACAGATAATGCAAACATCGTATTCTATGTACGCTCTTCTTCGAAGAAAAAATATTGAAGTTTAATTAAATTGAGTTTGTAGTAGAAAATATGTGTTCAAAATTATTTAAATTCTACACCTGTTACAAATAAATTATGATGCAAAATCATAAATAAAGATTGATATTAGTCAAAAAAAAAAAAAAAAATAAACAATTTTCATTAAAATAATTCTGAATGAACATTTTAATTATTCGACCTCAAAAACACACAAGTAAAAAATATTTGCTGCCATAGTTACGTCGATTTAGGAAAATGTTGGTTTTTTTTTTAGTAGAAAAATTATAATATTGCATATAATTTTTGTTAATGAAAAATATATAATCTCTTACCTTAGCTTGTGAAATCGATGTTAGAATGATAAGATTTGCCGAAAACACACTCGCGCAACCATGTTTAACAATTAAGAAATAAAATAATACTTTTTCGAGAAAATTTAAGCGATCGCGATTTTAATAATTTCGAGCACTCCCGGAACACAAAATTTATTAAATTGACAAAAAAAGAAAAGTTAAACACTATAAAATATTTTCGTTCGCGAATTAAAAAATTTGAGCACTCCCGAAGATATTCACTTCAAATCTGAAAATATTAAATAAAAGACATACACAATATAAGACAAAAAGATAAATACAGACAAATATTTCTTTTAAAATTAAAAAAAATTTCAAAATTTTCAATTTTTATTGACCACGTCTATAGGTCAATACACAAATTGCAATTGATTGAATTATCTTTGGGATTTATGATCTTCGGCTTAAGGTAGCCTTTGTACTTGAGTGTAAACAAATAGCTCGTGATGCGCACAGGTATTAAAGGTAATAAAATCCCAAAATAGCTTCGACTTTAAAATAAATACACTTTGAAATTATAATTTTAAATTTTAATTTAATATTATATATAAAATAAAGGTTTTTAACTTATAAGTGAGAAAAAACTTCATTTTAAGTTTATGAAAATCATATGATAAATTATCAAACAAATCATGGAATAATAAACTTACTACACTGACTCCAAAAAATGTTGCATTATTCTTAAACCTTTTTTGATCACAAATTAAAAAAATTCGAGCACTCCTGAAGATATCTAGCTTTTATAAAATTAAAATGGAAAATAATAATTATAAAAAACAATCGTGAAAACTCTTCTTCATAAACTTTTATTTTCACATATAGAACAGGAGAAAAATGGACGATTTTTTTTTCTAAATATTAAGTAATTTGTAACTTTTAAAAGCGATTCATCAATAATTGTCACAATTTTATTTAAAAAATATTATCTGATAATATTTATTTCTAATAAAAAGATACATTTTTAGCCATTTTTTTTTTTCAATATCAAGTGAAATTTTCTAATATTACTCTTGTTTTTTTTCAGATAATATTCTTCTTTTCTTACAATAAAATGACACTTAAAATTCGCCGTTAAATATGAGAATAAAATAAATATTGTTTTTTGTGTAAAGTGAAAAAAGCCTGCGGTGAAAATTTATGAAAAAACAAAAATCGAAATTTTTTTTTTCGAGGCTATCATTCATATATCACACTTCTCACTTTTTTTTCAAAACAATCTACTTGTTTATAGCCTATATACGTATATGTTCTTAAAACATTTAGAAAAATGTTTCTCGTTTATTGAAAATCACATTATCATTAAATTCAGTTCAATAATTATTGTCAGCTTCGTGATTATTTCTAAAAATTTCACTTTCTTTTTTTTGGAAACTTTAAAACTTCTTATTTGTTTATAAATTAGTTAGATTTATTTTTCTAAAATTTCTAAATTATTTCTTTTTTATTGACATATATTTTTATCATAAAAGTGCGCAAATACGACAATAAATAATAATAATAATAATAATAATGACCAAAAATTATATTTCGCTAATTAAATATTAAAAGGAAGAAAAAATTAATTCCAACATTTATTTTCATTAATCTTATATATATATATAATTGCGGGTTCTCATAATTATAACTATAATTGTAATACTGTTTTTAACGGAACGCACAATTTTTCTTAGTAATAAAACTAAATTATTATTTTGGAACAAATGTTTGAAAAAGCTGAAAAATTTTATTAGGTACATTTTTTCTTTCACTTTTGCACAGAAACAATTTTTTTCTATTTTTGTTTTATTTGTTTTTAATTTTTTTAACTTAAAATTTTTTTTAAAGTTTTAATAAATTTTCTATTAATTTAATATAAAAAAAATTTTAAGTTGAAAATAAAATTAAAGAAATTTAATTTTTTTCAACTTTTTCAAGTTATTTATCGAAAATTTTTCGAGACAATTACTTTCAGCTTTTTCTATTAAAAATATTTACTTAATTAAAAACGAAAATCATTTTTTTGTTGTTGTATAATATAAATAATAATTATTGTCTTATTAAGTCTTTGTCAGAGTTAAGCAGAAATTAATAGCGTACACTATTGCGAATAAATAATTCATTTTTAAGTCTTTTGTATTCTCTAAATCTATATATAGGAAAATTAAATATACACTAATTGTCTTTAATGATAGTATTTTCCCTGAAGCTCTGATATTTATAAATAAAATTTTAACAACGTTTAAATGTTAAAAAAAAATTTAATTTAAACATTAAAATTAAATTAAAATCAATTGTTAATATATTTAATAAATAAAATAATATCAGATTATTAAAATGAATTTCTGCTAAACTCAGAGGTAGGCTATGTTGAAAATTTCTCATCGCAAAAATTATTCTTTTAAGCATTATAATAAGCACCGTAGTTTTTTTTTCAACTGTCAAATTTTTATAAACAATTCTTACAAACTATGAAGGGAAGCTAATATTATTTTGCATAAAATAAATATATTGTGTCAAAAAAATTCTATAAAATCGAAGAATTAATTTGAAAATTTTCATTTGTTTAAAAAAAAGTTTTTCAAAAATTAAAAAAAAATATGTATATATTTTTTTTGTACTTTTGTATCAGTATAGAAAAAATAGTAAAAATGACACAAAAGTATGTATAAAAAAAATTTTTTGACAGTTATTTTTTTTAGAAAAAAAAAGAACAAAAATTTAATTATGATAAAATCAAGTCAATCAGAAAGTGGGAGTTTAAAGCTTAGTTAGTTTTAGATTTTTAATTTAAAATATCTCTAATTAACTCATTTTAAAACTCTATAACTAAACAAGGAAGTACAATGCGCGTAATAATGTTATTAAATAATCACAGTCCCTTTAATAAATACTTCTAATTTTTTTTTTTTTTTTTTTTTATCAACATAAGTTATCAGAATTTACTAAATTCGCTCACTTTGTCTCATTTTGATATCTTGTATCATAATTTTTCTTTGAAAATTTAATTCTTACTTTTTTTCCACTCAGTTTCTTAATTTTGCTCTTCAAAAATATTTTTAACGATTAGATACAATTTTTCTATTGTTTACAATTGACCAAACATTATTTTTATTGCATAAAGACGCAATAAAATTGTTTTTTCAAAAAAATTTGGTTTAAAAAAAGCACATTTTCTGCATTACATTTTAAAAAGTTTGTTTTGTTTAGTACTTTTTTTAAAATAAAAATTATCCCAATTTTAAAAATTCTTTTCTTTTCCAATTATTTTTTCTATATTTTCTACACTTCTCCATAATATTTTGAAGAATAATTAAAAGTTTATTTATCATTTTTTAATCTCTTTTTTTTGTTTGAGTTTGCTGTTTAATTATTTTTAAAATATAATTAAAAGAATCGTGTGCTTTTTTGATATTCTGTTGCATTTTTTTTTTTTTGTTGATGATCTTTCTTACCTTTTTGAATCTTTTAATTAATAATTTCTTCACGATAATGGTGATGTATTACCAGAAGATGTACCTGAATTGGGATTGTTAACTTTTTCATTCTCATTATTTAAAGTACCATCTTGATCATTATTTTTATCGGCCTGAGAATTATTGTTAGTGAGTTCATAATTCTGTAAATATTCCACGACCTGAGAATGTCCAAAAGCTTGTGCCTCGTCCACTGGTCTATTACCCCATCTATCAAATATTTTATTTTTTTATTTATTTTTTTTTCATTTAAATTAAAATTTTATATTTTACCTGTCTTTTGGGTTATGAGGTACTCCACATTGTTCGATGAGAAATTCAACACAATCCAAATGTCCCTCACTTGCAGCCAAATGTAAAGCTGTCCGACCGTCGTAATCAGATAATGTCATATCCATACCACTCAGTCGATGCCTAAAAATAAATATTTATAATAAAATCCGAAATAAATTACACATATCTTTAATAATTTTATTTTATGTACAAAGATTGAATGATAAAAAAAAAATCAAATAAAAATCGTACAAATGAAAAATTAACATCTAGAGGAGAAAATGTTAAAATAAAATAAAATTAAAATACAAAATTTATAAGAAAATTCATGTAAAATATTATTGTTCAGTGTAGAATTTTTATGAATTAGTGAAGCTCGTGAGACAGTTTAATGTTTTATTTTCTTTTTTTTGCCGTCATAAGAGTAAAAAAAAATTTGATAAAATAAGAAAAATTTTTATAAAAAAAATAATGTTGATATAAAAAATCCCGCTTATGACTCACCATTTTGTTAGTTCTTTCAGACTGCGTATATTTTGTGTGCAAGCGTTCATTATGTTGTGTTTAACGTTTGTGTAGGTAAATAAAAACAAAAATTAGTTAGTGGGTGAAAAACAAAAATCAAATTAAATTAACAATTAATAATTGAAAATTAATAAATTAATTAAAAATAAAAATTCATCATCAAATTTAAATTCACCTTCGCATTGCTGTTACATCTCCACTAGCTGCACTAAATAATAAATTTACAATTGACAATCCTTTTGTTTCATATTTGTGCCTTCTTGGATCTTTTTTATTTGTCGCGTGTTTCAAATTATCGTATCTGTCGAGAAAACAATATTAATAAATTATTTTTATTATTTAGAATAGTAAAAAAAAAAATTCTTAACAAAAAAAAAATAGTTTAATAATAAAAATGATTTATTTTCCAGACCTATGAAAATTAAATTCAGAGACCAATTCTTGGCAAAATTGAACGCCTCGACAAGAATTTCCCAATGGATCTAAAGGTGGTGACCATGTGCAAATTCCCATGACGTTTGGAATGACAACTAATAAACTTCCGGACACTCCTGATTTTGCTGGAATTCCGACCTGAGATAAAAAAAAATGGTAAATTAAGTATTATTAATTATTTATGAATTATTAGTTAATAAGTAATTATCATTTATTAATAATTTCTTACTTTAAAAGCAAATTGTCCACTATAATCGTACATTCCACAACTGTGCATTAAACTCAAAACGTCTCGAACACTGTCGGGTTTCAATACTTTTTCCTCTGTGGTTGGACAAATTCCTCCATTTGCCAAAGTGGCAGCCATCACAGACATTGTCTCGCAATTCGCTTCCATGGCACAACACTGAAATAAAATTTAAACAATTTTAATTTAAAAAGTAAAAAATAATTTAATAACAAATTCTTTAATCATAAGAATTATTTTGCACTATTTAGAAATTCTAGATTTTTATTAGCTTACTACTTTCTTTAATCAATAAAAAAAGGGGTTATCTTTGGAAACGCAAACATTATAAATTTCAAATAAAAATTAAATATAATTACAGGGTGTCTAACAAGGATTGAGAAAAGAATTCCCTGATTTTTCCCTGACTTTTTAATAACCTTATTTCTGCTTTTTTTGGACAAAAATATGGTTACCGACATATTTAACAATAAATTAATTTTTAATGGTAGTAACAAATGGTAATAAAAACCATTCAAGTTTTTTTAGATTAAAAAATTTTAATTTTTGTAGAAATTTTCAGAAATTTCTCTGACTTTGAATGAAATTTTCTGAAATTCACTGACTTTTCCCTGACCGTTAGACACCCTGAATTACAATAATTTGCTTATTAGAAATAACTTTAAAAGTGTACATTAAATTAATTTTCAACAAAAATGAAAAATAAATTTGTTTCTCTCAGAAACAATAAAAAATTATCAATTTTAAAAAATCGTGATATTAATTTTTTTTTCAAAAATGAAGCACGATAATTTAATAATATAAGTATGTACTTGAAATTTTTTTTTTTGCTATTTATCCTTCAAATAAGCCTATTAAGAATGGAAACTTAACCATCTTGTCACCAGACGTTCTTTACCTGAAAATAGAAATCCATAACTGCTTTCAGGTCCACTTTGTCTGGATAACATTTGTGCTCCCGCATATAAAATCCAAGGGCGTAATTTCTATCCGCTGCCTCACGTTCCGATAGAAAAACAGCATTATTGAAACCCAAATTCTCACCACCGGATAAACGTTTAAAATAATTCATTGTAAAATCAAATTTTTCAGCTAACGTCATTTCTGGCTTTATTAATGCCTTTAAAAGTGAACAAATCAAAATTGCTCCCGCATTTATCATTGGATTGTGTGGCTTTTCTGAAGAATGAAAAATTAATATTAAAAGATGAATATTAAAATAAAATAAAATTTTTATAAACTAATTTCTTTTTTTTAAAAAAAAACAATTGATACTCACTGTTATGGTCGAGTACAAGTTCATTGAAATTTCTTCCAGACGGTTCTTGTCCAACATATTGATGAACAACTTCTTGGCCCAATCTTTCAAGGGCAATTGCATACGTCAATGGTTTACTGCAACTTTGAAGTGTAAATGGAATTGACGTATCACCAATACTGAATCTTTGTCCATCAATTGTACAAACAGAAACTCCCCAATATTCTGGATTCATTCTAGCTAATTGAGGAATATAGGAAGCTACTTTTCCCTCTGTGTTTGTCTTGCATTTCCAATAAAAATCTTCGATATGTTTTATGAAACCAGCCCAGTCTGGAATTGTAAATTGATGTCTAAATGCTCTCGATATAAGAACAATATTTGGACTAACGATTCTGTAAAATAAAATTAAATATTCAGGATTAATTATTTTAAAAACATTTTTAAATTTTACACACGCAAAAGACCTATTAAAATAAATTTTTAAAAAATTCAACTTTTTTGAATAATAATTATAATATATTTAAAAATTAAAAAAAAAAACCTTTTAAATTGTTCTCGATCTAATTTTTGTGTTTCATGGGATATGCCTTCGTGACCACCGGTTTTTATATGCTCCTGTTTTAAATTATCGGTTAATTCCTGTAGACGGGGATCATTTTTTCTTAGACCTGTAGTTCTCAAAGCCTAAAAAAACAATTTCATATAATTATTATTTATATTTCAATTTTTATGACAATTTTTATCATATTTTTTTATTAGAATTTTTATTTATATTCTCATTATTTCAAAAATTGCAATTTTAGTACAAAATATTGTACATTGTGGGATTAAAAATTAAAAAACTTTTCTTTATGCTGATAATGATTAAAAATTCTAATCTATTAAAATTTATAATTATATGTAAAAAATAATTTCCAATAATTATTTAATAATAATAAATTTTAAATAATTTCTGAAAATTTTATTACTTACAGCTAAAAATTTTCCAACGGGTAATAGTCCGGTTTCTTCATTTTTGAACATGTCAAAGAGAACATCTTCAACATTACTAGCTTGATCTTGATCTCTGGTACTGAAAAAGAAAATATTTTAATATTAAAGTATAAAATGTGAATAATAAGAATTAAAATAAATATTCAAAGAAATTTGTCAGATAAAATAAAAAGGATAAACAAATAAATAAAAAGAAAAAATTATACTAATTAGTAAATTCTAAATTAGGTAGACCAAAAAAAATTAAGACAAGTCACACAAAATTAATCTGCTAATACACATTTTTTAATAGCAAAACAATAGATTTTAGAAATAAAATAACTTTCTTTAAATACAGTAAACAGTGGAATATCAAATTGCAAAATATACTTTAGCAATTAAATTAAATATAATTTTAAAAATAAATAAATAAATAAATGCATTTTTAATGAAGAAAAATTGAATGATATTATAAATAACAAAATTTTGTAATATACAATTTCTCTAAATTACAATAGATTTCCTGTTAAAAAAAAAAAATTAATACCCACACGATATTATCTAAAACTAATTAAATATTTGTAGGTCAAAGTACAAATTTCAAAACTCAGTCCAAGATTAAATTTAAAATCAATTTTTCTATTTAAACTATTTAATAATTAGAAAATAAAATATTTTTCTTAAAAATTTTTTAAAGTTTACCATCTTATTTTGTAAAACTAAACCATCCTGTAAACAAAATTATTATTTTTTTTATAATTATTTATTAATATATTATCCTAACTTGCATTCTTTGCAGAAAAAGTTTTCAACAACAATAATTATTTATTATCAATAAAACGTACAAATAAAAATAAAATACCTGTATTTTTGTCTAAAAATAAAATTCGATAATGATTTCGTGAATTTTAATCCGAAAATTCGCATGTTTTTATAAAAAATAAATTTTTTTACAATTTTCACCCTTCATTTTTGACAGACAATCATTTTTATTTTCTTGACATATATAACCTAACGGTTTTTTTTTAAATTACCCTTTTTCAAAAACAAAGCATAGAAAAAAAAAAATATTCAAACTTCGAAATAAAAATAAAATTTATAGAAATTTTGTCATGAAAATTAATTTCTAACAAAATGTTATTTTTATATTTAAAAAAACAAAAAAGAGAAAACTAGCGAAGAAAAAAATTGCCATTCATGCTTCTCTATAAAATTAATTAAAGGAGAAAATTAAGTTTTCTGTTTAATTAATAATAAGATAACTATAATATATATTATATAAAGAAGCCGCATTTCAAAATAAATTCTAAAATTTTTAATTTCAATGTTTTTCCATGCAAAATTACATGGTACTCACTACATATAATGGCTGTCATGAATAAAGCTGAAATTACTGTAAAGAAAATACATGATCGTTAAAAGTGCTATTTTTCATTGGTTAACACTTTTATTAATTTTTCTTTTTTTTTTAACGTGCGCTTTGGATTAAATAATAATAACATTGATTAAACAATAAAAAAAAATTTTTTTTTTCCAAAGTACATCATTTTTTTATGAAAATATTAGAAACTTATTGAAGCATGCAAACTTATGACAATAAATTTGTTGTCATTTTTAAAGTATTAGTCACTGAATAAAATCAAATCAAATTTTTTCTGAAATAAAAAAAAATTATTATTTCAAAATAAAATCAGAAAAATTCAAAATTTTAGTATAATTTTGATAAGAAATAAATGTTTTTGTTCAATTATTCTAATTAATTTGAATACAATTTAATAAATTGAAAAATATTGAAATATAAAAAATATTTACTTAGGTTAATATATCGTTATGTAAACGATTCACAAAAGAAAATTATAAAAATTATAATTTATAAAATTCTTATAAAAACACACACACAATTAAAAATGCTTCATAAGATGTTAATTTAATGCTTTAAAAAGATTTGTGTATAGATTACATAATATTTTGAACTGCATCGTGTGTAAATTGGCTGAAAATTGCAATTAATTAATTAGAATGAACATTGAAAGCAAATTTTTAGTACCGTGTTGGCACGCGCTCTAATTCCAAGGCACTTCCATAAGCTGCATCCAAATACCTGGCAGTTCCTAATCTCATTGATGCTGGGACTGCAGCCTTTTTCTGTAAATTCAATAAAACAATTTTAAAAATTATTCTAAATAAATTTCAAAAATATAAATTTAGACATTCTCTCATCCGAGAAACGTCGAGAAAAATAATTTGAAAAGTGAAATATTCTTTATGAGAAGACAATATTTAAATAGAAATTTCTAAATATAAATAATATATAAGAATAACGTTCAAAAAAAATTTCTGTTCTAAAAGAAAATTTTTTTTCCAAATATCGTCCATTAAAAAATTACTAAAAAAAATGAAATAATGAATTATAATAAATAATATAAACAAATTATTTAATTTAATAAAAATTTAACAAATTATAGTTCACTAGTTCAATGACTTGTGCGATAACAAAAGGAAATTTTAAGTTTCCTGTTACGTTTTTTTAAAATAATTTTCCTTCTTTGAATATAGTAAAATTTTGTATTCTATAAATTTCCAAAAAACAAATATTCGATTTTATAATTTGAATAAAAATCAAACTATAATATTTTTTGTTACATTTATTCTTTGAATATATAAATATTGAATTGTCATCATGAGAAAAATTAATTTTAATATTATAATTGTTATGTCAATATTATGCGACAAAATGTGGAAAGGAAAGTTAACAATAGAATAATTGTCATTTGAAGTCTAGTTTTCTCACTTTTAATAATCGATAAAAATATTTTAAAGAGAATATTTATTGTTTTACTTTCAGTACCAGGTATAAATGTGGAAATAATACCGGCAAGACATTTTTTTTCTGAGAAGGTTTTTAAAAAAAAATAAAAAATTTTTTTTTTATGCAAAATACTTTTTTTAATTCCACTTTGCTTTTCATTGGACTTTCACTTTTCTCGAGACCCATGTCTAGTATTGATTTTATAATACAAATCCACCCCAAGTCGAAACAACCCCACGTGTAATTTCAGCAAAATGTAAAAAAAAGAACAGATTAAAAAATAAGAACGTATTTGAAATAAAAATTGTTAAATTTAAATTCAATTTTTATTTTAAATGAAAATTTTTTAATTAAAAATGAAAATTTTCTGTTCTAAATAAAAATAAAAATTATTAAAATTACAATTTTCTGATAACAATTTTTAAATAAAAGTATATAATAATCATAATTATAAATATAATAATTTTAATAGAATTTAAGATTATTTAAAAATTTTTTTAAATTTTAATATTATACATTTAGATTTTATTTGACATTTTGAATGAAAACGAAAAATAATCTTTTTCCACGAAATTAAAAAAAAAATAATGAATTTGCTTTGTTCAGAAAATTTCAATTAATACTAATGTTACCCACGTGCTCTAAAATCTTTCATCCAGTATAACCGGTAGAAAAAGATTTCAACATGCAATCTCTCTTTGAAACAAAAAAAAAAATATCTTGCAGATATAATTAATTTAAAATTATTATAAACTCATTTCAAATGAAATTTTAATGTTTCTAATTAAAAAATAAATTAATTTTCCACTATGATCAGTGTATATGTGTAAATTAGAATAAAAACTTTATTATTTACTCCAAAAATTGACTTCCAACTTTAAGAAACTCTGACATTAAATAATTTGAAAATAATTGACTGAAATATATATATATATATACATTTCCAAATATCAACAATAATTTGTTGATATTTTTCATGCGATCTTCATTTCCATGAATATAATAATCTGTCAAATTTGAAAATTCAACCGTTTCAAAACTCTCAAGCGCAAAATTATTGATCGTTTAAAGAAACTAAACGATAAAAAAAAAGAAAGAATAAGAAGAAAATATTTCTAAAAAGTAATAATAAATTAAAATTACCTGATTTCCATTGTGAAATCGTCTGAAAATATTATTTCCTATTTTTGTTAATTTGAGATTTTTCACACCGTGATAAATAATTTCTCTGTACATTTTCGCGTTTTAATAATTTTTTTTTTTTTTTGGTAATTGACACAAAATCACTAACTTTGATTATCAATAAATAATTTATCGTAGAATTATTGATAATTGTTTTTAGTATTAAAATTTGACAATATTATTAATAATAAATAATTGAAAAATTGTTGATAATATTCGCAGTCACACACTTTTAATGCATTCACACTAAACGATAAATAGACGCTCAGCGTCTCAAAGTCTAGACACTACTGGATGATATTCACTCGTCTGAAGGGCTGAAAAGACAGACCTGGGTTCGCCCAAATCAAGACATGCGCGATTTTAGCAATTGATATGCGTACTAAAATTAACGTCAATGATCATTCTTTAACAAAAATTCCGCACAGGTAAATGTATAATCAGACACTATTATTTGCATTATTGAACTAGTAATTTCACTTTATATTTGTCAATTCATCATATTTTCAAAAAAAAAAAAAATTTCGAAACACCCCTAAATGACATCCCTGAATATTGTATATATTTTGAAAAATAAATTTTAATAATCCGCAATTACTTCTTATTTTATATCATCGAAAATTTTTTATATAAATTAAACATCAATTAAAATTAATGAATTTTTATTTATCAATTTTAATTGAAATTCAAAAATAATATTGGAGTGGTTCTATTTTAATTTCAACAAATTTAAATTCTTGCTGATAATTAATTTTAAATATTTATTGCTAACATAAAAAAACAATTCTATAATATTTTCATTTTGTAAAAATAAATTTAAAATATTTTTTTAATTTCTATGCAATAATTTTATTTTGTAGGATTTAATTGTTTAAAATTTAAGGAGTAATGGAATAGACAGTCAGGTAAAAATTTATGATCCAAATAAGTGTTAACAATTTAATTTCGAATGTTTCGAACCATTGAAAATTGTATTTTGATAATAAAAACTACAATTTCTTGTCAATAGGAAACAATTTAGGTAATATATAAATATTTAACAATCGTTTCTCCAAAGCAAGAAATTGTTAATTTTTATATTCAAATCCAACTATTAATAAGTCAAAATTTTTAAAATAAAATTTCTCTCACTTTTTCTGAAAAACTGTAATAAAAACTTTTTTTTAATTAAAAATACAAAAATATGAAATTGAACTAACATTTTTTTTACTATCCGTTCTATTCTTTTTTAATAGAATAAAATTTAAAAAAAATGACGAAAATAATTAATGTAATAATTAAAAAGTTATTAATGACGGTTCATTAATTGAAAGCAATTATTAATGACGTACATTAATTACTCATTAGTGCGCTAATAATATACAGTCAATTAACAACTAATTAATTCAACAGTTTATGAGTCTATATTAAATTTTTTAATTACTCTGCAAATTAAACAATTGCAAATAATAATTCTTTTTCAAAAAAAAAAAAAAAAATTCAATAATTCATCAAGTTTCTTATAAATTCTTTGATTTCAGAAAAAAGGACGATTATTGTATTTGGCATGTTGAATTTTCATGAAAACTTTGAAATTAATTATATAACTTAAATTTTCCATTTATGGAAAACATATATATATATATATATATATATATATATATATATATATATTGTGCTCCACATTTCTTGGGTATCAGAAAACGTCGATATTCTAGGAAAATTTGTAATTAGGCAAATAAGAAATATCACTCTCTAAAGATAGTACTCCTTATCAGAACAGGAATATTTTACAAATTAAACATGAAAAATTGTTATTATTATAACTCAATTTGCGAATTTACTTTTATTTTATTTTAATTTATTTAATTCTTCTATTTATCTAATTGTAATTATTTTATTTTTAATTTAAATTTCAAATTATGTGTTCAACTTTATTATTCTCCAAATGACTTTATGCTTTTGTTAAGAAAAAAATTTAATTGAATTAAAAATTTTTTTTTTTTTAAATAGAAAATCGTCTACAAAAACATTTAAATTATATTTAATGTGCAAAACAATCTCTCATTAATCTCTTGACAAAATATTTATCGCACACTGTGGTTAAATAATACTTATGAAAAATTTACACCTTATCCCTAAAAGTTAAAAATTGTCAAGGCCTTTTCTAGTAAATTTAAAATCAACAACACTGCAATGTTTTCTAAATAAAAATATTATTTGCAATAATAATTGGAAAAATATTATTACATTTTTCCTCAATTAATATATTTTTTTTTATTATATTTATGTATTTTTTTGTTCAATAAATTAAGTTTTCAAAAAAAAAATACATTTAAAATAATTTAAATATCAATACAATTTCTAAACAGGAAGTTGATTTAATTTTAAAATAAATTTTCTTCAATGAAAAGTAGTTGCAATAAATAGAACATCAAAGTGTCATAATAAACGTGTCAATAGTGAAAAATCTGTTGGTGGTTAATTTGTGTTTGAACATTTTATAAACCATCAATAAACAAATGAAAAATGATGTAATATGATAAATGTAAAGTATTTTCGACATTTTTTTTTTTTTTTTTTTTTTTTTCATCAAAAACAAATAATCATTTCATAACTTTTATTTGCATTTTTATTGTCTTCATTTCTACATTAATTTCGAATAATCAAATGAATTTGTCATATTACATATTCGACAATGAAAATAAATTGCAGTCGAACGAAAGAATTTACACTTAAAAATAAAAGTTGCCTAAAATTTTCTCATAATATTCGAAATTTATTTAAATTAGCAAGTAATTAGTATTATCAATTAATTGTTAATTTTAGTAATTTATAATCATTCAATAGATTTATACACCGATTTAAAATATAATTAACAATTATTCATTTCAATATAATGGAAAATTAATTAGATTATTAACAAAATTTCCTCATTATATTAATTTTAATAAATTTTTTTTTTAGTTTTAGTGAAAAGTTAATTATTAGATGTATTATTAATTATTAATTAACATTATTATGAAATGAAAGAAATAATATATATGAATATATTATTTCTTAATATCGATTAATTGTTAATACCAATTAATTATTAATTTGCATCGTTTGTAATTTTATGAGCTTTATTGCATTCAAATCAACAATGAAAATTCTATATTTATATGGTTTATTTCGAATTTTTATGAAACTTTTCTTTCTTTGTTTTTTAAATTGATCGTCAGTTTTCAACTGTAGATGAACAATTTTCAAGAACAGTTTTATAAATTAATATAGAATTTAGTTTCAATGTTGAAAAATAATTAACAAATTAATTTGCGTTAAGAAAGCAAAGACCTGTAAAGCTCGTTTAATAGTTTGCTAAATAATATTATCTAAGTGGTGTGAAAGGCGCATGACTATAATTATATGAGATTCTTAGTTGATTATTAAAATAAGGTTTTTCATATATTTATATGAGAGTTGCCTCAGACTTAATTCTTTATGCAAAAAAAAAAAAAAAATAAAACCAGACAACTACTCAAGTATAAATTTAAATTAACTTGTACTGGTAAACAAAATTATCCCTTTTCAGAAGTCATTAATATTTTCAATTTTATTTACTTTTTTTAAAGTTTCATTTTTAAATTTAAAATTCAAATTTTCCTTTTTTCTTTTATTTATTTAATTTCCTTTCTTTTTGCATATTTTGGCTTTGAAAATTTTTGTGCTTACATTTTCTTTTTCTTACAATTTTTTTTTTTGATTTTCCAAAAAAAAAAATGGTATTTTTGTTGAGAATAAAAATAATTTTCGAAAATAAAATTGTTTGAATATTAAAGAAATATTTTTTTTACCAGTAATATTGCATTTATTCGGTACAATTAAAAAAAACCAGACAGTTCTTGAATTAGACTACAACTTAATACTAATGATATTTAATACTTTGGTACTTTTCTTACGCATATTTTGCCGTATCAAACAAAAAAAAAAAAAAAATTGTCTACTTGAATGGAACACGATTTTTGATTTATAAAATATTTTTGAATATTTTCACATGGCATGTAAATATTAAGAAAATATAAAAAGAAAAGATAAAAAGTACGGCAGTGAAGACTAAAAGCAAAATTGCTTTATAGATCCTTAAAATATCACAATTTAAACTGTGTAAAAAATTCTAATTATATAAATCGTTCATCTAATTAAACACGAAGCTGATTGTCTTCTTTGTACATGAAAGGATTATTATTATTATTTGACATAAACCCGTCAAATCGACGATAAAACATTGGCAGCATTATTTACAATTTTGCTTTTATAACATTTTGATTTTTTGTCATTATTGGGGAAAAAAAGTATATAAAATTAACGTAATAGAAAAGAGCTATAGTAAAATTAAACCGAGTATTTCAAAAATATAACTCATATGTTAAAATCGCAAGATATAATTTTTTTTCAAATTATTTAAAAATTTAAATTACTATTTGTTTAAAAAAAAGGAAAAAATAATAATAAATAGAAGCCAAAGGGAATAATGATTAAGAAAAATTGCCAACAACAAAAAAATGCCAAGTAAGAATAATTGAAAAATTTTTTACAAAGATTTAAATTTAAAGATGAATTTAAAAAAAAAATCGTCAGTCTTAAATTGAAAAAGTATTGTCTATCGAGAAGATTGAGTCTTGTTCGAGAAATTTAAAAAAAATTCCTGAGTTTGGATTTTAAGGCATTTTTTGTATATTTTCGCTTAAATAGTCAAAAGATGGCTTTTAACTGGAATTGTTGAGCAACATTTTTTTTTTAAAACTAAAATACAGAAATTATCTGTATAATTTTTTCAGTCCATTCTCTAAAAACTTTGTTTTTTATTCTCAATATTAATTTTTTTGCTAAACTTAGACAATGTTTTAAAGCTTTTTAATTTATTTTTTTTAACAAGCAATTATTTTTTTATTTATTTTATCTACTAACTTTTAAAAATCTGAGAGATTTCAAATTTAAAAAAAATTAACTTTTTTAAATTCCTCGGAATTAATAGAGTTGTGCGCTTATAAAAATTCACTTAAGTCTTTTTATAAAAAAGAGATTATTACAGAGAAACTGTAGGTATATATTTAATAAAAAATAATTTTTAATCTTTTTCTTATGAAAAAAGATTCAAAAAATTGTTGTAATAAAAAATAGTTTTCAATTCATCTTAATGAAAAATATTATAGATAAAGAAAATTTTCAAAAAGAAGAGAAATTCTGTGAAATTAAAAAAAAAAAACATGAAAAAAATATTTCTACAGAGAGGGACCTACTTTTTTTTCATGATCAATTCACTAAATTTAAGATAAATAATCACCTATGATTTGATTTAAATACATGAAAATGTATGACAATCTCAGTGACGTTACTGGAAGTGGCACAAGAGTTTCTTTTTTTTTGGAATTTTTGTATCTTGTTTGCATTATAATTCTAAATTAAAAAAATAAAATAAAATTACCCGAGTAATTTAAAAATTGTATTAAAACTCTTGTACCTATTGCTATTATTTTGAATAAACTACAAACTACTCAATACTTAAATTAAGTACCCTTTTTATACAAGAGTTTTTCTTCCTGAAGTGTAACAGTAATTTTAAAAAATCCTTTATATAAAAGAAAATTAGTTTACAAAATTTGTAATTTAAAACTTTTCAATTCAATTATAAATTAAATGAATTCATTAAAATCTGTTTTACTTGAGGAATTTCAACTCAATAATTGAATGAACATTTAATTTAAATCACGGTATCCTGATAAGCTGGCGGTCCACTGAGGACAAATTGCCTCTGACTTTGTCGAACAATATCAGTCCTCTGAGGAACTTGTGGAGTCGCACGGACACCATGATAATTACTGTAACTTGACCTTGCACTCGCCGGTCGATTACTATAAATTTCATCAACGTCTTCTCCATTGATGTTTTGCGTACTTGTTGGCTGAAATGATGGATTACTCTGTCCCTGCCATTGTAATGGTTTCATTTGATTCCCTTGCCAATTGTCAGTTAAATTTCTCGTTGAACTACTGCCACCGCCTCCGTCCCATTGTGGTATATTTTGACTTGGAAAATTTGTACAATTTGAATAATTGGAATCCTGATTCCATAAGGTTGGCGTGGAAACTGCCATATTCATTGCTTCCGGTTGCCAATTGAGATTTCTCTCTCTATCCCAATTATTTGCAATTCTATCGTAATTCAAAGTCCCCTGCGATAGGGACGAGACATTTTGATTGGTGAGATTACTGATTGATGAATTCGCATAGAGACCCTCTTGTTGATCCATAATGCGATTAACAGGATTTTTTCTCCTCGATTGTCGCACTGAACTTCTTCGACTTGATCGTCTTGTTCCGTCACGTGATATTACCGAACGACGTTTAACTCGACGTGGTGTCATTGGTTTTGGTGAAACACTCTCATCCTGAATTGGTGGCTCTGGTTGGGAATATTCAATGCTATACAATGGTCGAGGTTGTTTTTTCTTCTTCTTCTTCATCATCATCTTATTGTGTACTGTTGGAAAGAAAATTTAATTTATTTTTTCCTTTTCATGATGATGTCTTTCCTCATCATGCCGCAAAATTCAATTTCGTTTCAAAAATAATTACTAATTATTATATTCTTTAAATAAATTAATTAACCAAATAAATCTACAAAATTTTTATTTCATATTTACTAAATTATTCATATCAACAAAATTTCCATTTTTCCCGACATTTTATTTTTTTCCATAAAGATTCTACAGAAAAAAAAAAAAAAAAAAAAAAAAAAATACTCTACATAATATTGAATGTCTACTAATAATAATGATTTACCAGAAACCAGAGAACATGTAGAAAATTGTTAAAAGAGGAAAAGTAAAGTGAAGGGTTAATAAATAAAAAAGCAAGCACTAGTATTGTAATGCACATTTATTGTAGCCACTGAAATGATGTGAAAAGTGTGATACAATAATTAAATAATTCAAAATACAACTCAAGGTACATATTTACTACTTACAAAGTATAAACTACGAAAAAAGGTCTGCAAACCTATAATATTATTATTAACGAAATTATAATACTTTTATTTTCCAAAATTTTCAAAATACCACGCAATTTTGAAAATTGCACTAAATTTTCTCTTTATTCAATATAATAACAAGGGATGAACAACTATTATAAACATTTAACCCTTTCGCACCATAAAATTTTAACGTTTTATTTTTAATATAAAATTGAATTCTTCTCAATATTAATTTTATAAATTAAATCAAAAATTCAAAAAATTTTAACAACATTTTTACTTATTTTAATCCCTTAATGTTGAATTTCAATTTTTTAAATTGAATAGATATTATAATAAATAAATATATTTACTTTAATATTTATATAAATGTAATTTAAAATATAATTAAATACTTTTACAAATATTAAATATAGGTATATATAATTTTTAATTACTTTATATACTTATGAGAATAATTAACGAAAGAGTTAAATTTGTACTACCATGCAATGAAATATAAAACCGTGATGCTTAAATAAAAAAAAAAATTTATTCCTTACTAAGAACCATAGCCCCATTTAAAAATAAATTTAAATGCGATACAAAATTATTTTTAAATGTTTCGAAAAACGAAAAAAAAAGTTTACTAACTTAAATTAAATATTCACTTGTCAAGACAGTATCATACCACAAATATACTGTAGCAAGTAAATTAAATTTTTTTCAAAACCAACTGAAAAATATTTTGCATTCATAATGCAAATTTATTCGTACATTATAACTAAAAATTATGCAAATTTTTGCTAATTAGCAAAAAAAGAAGAAAATTTCAGAATGAGCGTTTTTTCTTTCTTTTTTCTAATATTATTTTATAAAAATTGAAGCTCTCAATGCGGCTTTTTGACCATTTTTCTAAGTATCACAGTCTCTAAAAATTCATTTAAGTCTATATTATATATATATATGTATGCAAACACAACAAAAATATTACGCTCTACAAAAGAAGCATTTCGAAAAGACAACAAAAAAAGTCTTGCAGGTATTTGACAATAAAATAAAAGAAGATATTCCAAAGAATTATCTTGCTTTTCATGTCGAAACGTAATACGAACGCAAAAAAAAAGAATATGTAGTATAGAACGCAAAATAATTTCCTAAAAATTCCATTAGTCCGTATTTTTAATGTTTCAAATTATACAGAAAATTTCTATTTAACTGCAATTCCGAATTTATTTAACCGTAATTACCATTTAGCCAATGTTTCATTAAATGAAATTTCTACTCAGCCAAATTGTAAAATGGAGAAATTTTTCTAAAAACTTCATTTAACCACAAATTTTTATTTGCAGAAAATTCGACTAAATAAAAATTTTGTTAAAGAGAAATTTGTTTAAATAAAAATTCAACTAAATAATAATTCTGTAAAATGAAAATTCGATTAATATTTCTATTATATCAATTGAACAAAATGTAAATTTGGTGAACTGAAAAATTTACTATATAAAAATTTGAGTAAATAAAAATTTAGTCTAGTAAAATTTGAACAATTAAAAATTTAGATTCATAAATTTTAGAAAATATTTATGCATTCCTTTAATATATATATATATATAAATATATAGGTATATGTATATTTAAATATAGAAAACCATTCGATAGGAAGAGCATTAAAATGTAAATCTAAATATTTGGCAAGAGTAGGAAATGAAAACGTGAATGAAATATTATTCAAAGTCAAATTATTTTTTCAGTGAACATAAAAAATATTCCCGACTCTAGAAGAACAAAAAAATATAAAGCAAATTACAAAGAAAAATCGACTAATCGTATACATCAAAAAAATAGTCCTTCAATAACAGTATTCAGATATTTACAGTTTGTCAGTTCGATAAAAATCTTGTGTTAAGTCTTTGTTTATATATATATAACAATATATAATAGGGTCTAGAAATATATTAATTAGTTCTTAAAAATTGGAGGCAAACATGGATAGAGGTCTGCTGTCTCTTTTACTTCTGTTAGCACCCTCACGTCTATTTAAACTGTGATGTTGCTGTTCAACAGCCAGTCTTGGATCCGAGTAAAACGACCTTAATGGCTGTTCACGAATATAATCAGTAAAAACACGCGGTTTATTATTAGGAACTTTATTATGTTTATTGTTTGTATTGTTTCGATTTGATTTTTGAGCAATCACTGGACTATAACGCGAGGAATTATAGTTTGTAGAACGATTTTTTTTAAATTTATTATTAATAGCTGCTGTACCATCTTCCAATGAATCATAATCATTGATTGGCGGTGATACGGGTCTTTGTAAATGATCAAATGGATTTGAATAATCATTTGCATAATCTACGTATTCAAAATTTTGTGTCTGATTATTATTGGTTATACTTCGATTGCTGCGTATTGTATCGTTTTTAAATATATTTCGACCGCGACCTATACTATTTATCAGTTTTTCACTAGGTTTTGGAAAAGTCGATTGATGTGAACTAGTTGTGCCGCATGAGAAGTTTTGATTGGAATTTTTATGGGAGTAGACTGGTGGTGGTAGTGCCGAGTAGCTAACGTACATTGGATGCAAAGCCGTGTGTCCGGCCAAACCAAAGTCACCGCCTCCGACAAAGTCAACTGAAATTTACCCACACAGTCTACAATTTATTCATGTCATTTTTTTTTTTTTACTTATTTATTAACAAACAAACAAAATTTTTTTCTTTACTACTAGTGGTGAGAAAAAATTTTCTTTTCTCATTATTGTCAGTAAAAAGCAAAAAATTACATAAATAAACATTAAATAATAATTACAATAATTACATTCGTTTATGAAATTTTTCAATATTTACATATTTTCGTTACTTATTTCCAAAATGTTTGATATTGTGGATAATTTTTCTTTTTTTTTTTTTGCCACCAAGGAAATTGTTCGAAAATAAAAATAATTAACAAAAAATGGAAAGATTTTTTGAAAATAAAAAGCTCAGAAATAATTACGTAGTACACAAACCTTAGATATCCCACTACTACTGAATTTCATGCTACATGTATAATAATAATAATAAAAATAAAGAAAGCGTGCAGATGAAATTTAGAAAAGCAAAGCACTTACCAAAAAGGAGGATCAAATCCACCAATGAAATCAACTGTAACCGACAATCCCTTATTCAAGAATTATTTCCAATTACCAAAAAAAAAAAAGTAAAGTAAAATATTTCACCAATATCTGATTTACAAAAAAAAAAAACAAATGCTTTTCATTTAAAATAATGAAAAGAAATTTTTAAAAAATACTTTTTAACCTTTTTTTAAGCATGAAATATAATTTTTTTTTTCATGTTAAAAGCGAATTTTTAAATATTGAATGTTAATTTGTTAATTGAGAACCTTCAATAGCCAATTTTTGTTAAGCTGAAGCCAAATGAATAAAGACTCGATAGAAAATTTAATCATTATAAATGAAAAATACCTGAGACTCTGGTATAGTGAACAATATTCAGGAAACAATTTATAAAGATCACATAGACAATAATGGATAAGCTTGTGTATAAAAATGGTGCAAATGTGCTTTTTTTTCCTAGTAATAGTGTGACGCTTTTTTTATACTCTTGTATAAAAAAGTATTTGTGTACTTACTTCAAATTAATATTGAATACTTTTTTTTTATAGAAATTTAAATAAACAAACAAATATGAACTAAATATTTTTGTACTCACAACTATCATCTTCTTCGAGAAAAACTCGGCTAAGACATATTCCACCCACGACTGCTATGACCTAAAATGAAGAATTAATAATAATAAAAAAAATTTGATTCTGGAGGAAAAAAAAAGTTAATAGAAGAAATTTAATTGGCTGAGAGAAATTATTGCCATGTCCGTTAATATTAAGTTTAAAAAATTGCATTAATGAAAACCAATTAAATGAAGAAAATGGGCAATAAAATGTAAAGATGAAGAATTAAAAAAAAAAATTAAATTCTAATAATTTCTAGGATATTTCTATTGCTGTGAATTTTAAATAAAGAAAAGAATAAAATAGAATAAACTTACAGACAAAATACATTGAATAGAAGCATGTAAAATTTCGATTACTTCATATTCTAAAATACAACCAGTAACATTAGTAGGTCTTGCTGGTCTGAAAAATTCTGGTTCAATATTATCATAAATTGGTTTACATCCTGGTCCGTTAGCCAGCCACCAGGAAAAGCTGCCAGTACCGAAATTCAATAAATCACTTTTCTGAAATAAAGTTAAATAAACATTCAAGTTATGTACAATATTTCAAATATTCAATTTGGAAAATCAGTGAATAATTGTCGAGGACAAATATAATTTTAAAAAAATAAATTATTTCTATATAAATCTAAATTACGAGTTGTATTGTTTCGAATGATTCACGTTAACGTACAATGATAAAACAATAAGAATGAAGTAATCTCTAATATTAAACTTGTCTATTGAATTTAAAACAGAAAAAATTTATTTACGCAGATAAATGAGAAATTAATTTTAATTATCAACAATTAATTTCGTAACAATTATATTTGGTAACAATAAAAAAAATTAAATATTTATTTTAAAAATAAAAAAATTTTCAATCTATTGAATGGGAATTATTTTATATATACCTTGTCTAAAATTCCAGCATTGACGTAAAAACAAATTACAAAAATGTTCCATCCCAGCCAAAGTGTGTTCCAAATACAATACTGAAAAAAATAGTTTACTTATTGATTTTTAAAATTGTAAATTTATCGTTTTCTGTTTTACACAATTTCTATTTTTTTCCTTTTTGAAATTATTCATGGTGTCTAACAAGAATTGAGAAAAAAATTACCTGACTTTTTACTAATCTTATTTCTGCCTTTTTGTGATAAAAGCCATATAAATCTTATTAGATTAAAAATTATTTTTAATTCAGAAAAAATTTTAATTTTTGTATAAATTTATAGAAATTTTCCTAACATTCCTCTGACCGTTAGACACCCTGTTATTTGAAAAAGAAATCATATTTTTACAATAATTTTAAACAAGTACTCTTTTTTTAAAATATTAAAACATTATTATATAATTAATAATGGTGATAACAAAATAATTATAATAATAAATAATATTATTAGTTATTAGCCTCACTTTCAATTTGAATTACATAATTAGAAAAATAAACTAAATATTATATTAAATTTAATAATTCTCATTTACAATTCAGTATAATATAAAATAATATTCTTTACTCATACGTGTAATATTATACGTTGCTTTCTTTTTTGTAAATAATAGATCACTTTCCAGTGAAATTATAAATTCTCAAAAGAGCACCTGCCATGGTCTGACAATCAGGGAAGAGACTCGCGTATCTCTAATCCATCTCAGCACGGAGAGAAAGTAATACTAATTGCAGGATGAAGAATATCTTTTCAAATTGCAATAGAGAAATTACTAAAAGATATTTACCGATATAATGTATTTAGGACGATATTGAAAGGCTCCGAAAAATCCAAGAATCACGAAAATCAAGTTGAAAAAATTGACCAGTATCGGGATCCACATAAACCCCAGGAAGTCGAAGACTTGTCGCTCGATGGTAGTAATCTGTAAAAAAAAAAAAATAATAATTACAATAATAATTATTATATAAAAAAATCCTGCTATAATCGTGGAAATTTAATGTGTGTGAGATATGATGGCTGATTAACCAAAGTTAAATCATCTTTCCTTCGAGTGGATCATCTTTGTAAGTGATCCTAATTTAGTGTAATTGCTGTGTGTTCTAAATAACTTGTTTAATTATCATTGTGTCGAGCAATTTGAGTGTCTTTATGAGATGATGATCGTGCAGCTTGTAAGGAGTCAGAATTATCTCACATTAATGCGCATTTCAAATTGAATAATATAATTCACAAGTAAACATACAAAGTAAAAGTGTTCGAGAAATTTTTCGAAAATTTGCAACTTTTTTTTCAAAAACTGATTTTTATTCTAAAATACTTCCTAGAATTATTGTCAATAATTGTTGATACTATAAAATCTATATATTATATTTTCTCAAGTATAAGATTAGAGAGCTCAATCGAGGTCAAGTGAAAATCTAAGCAAAAATGGCAATACTCCAGTAGTAGTGGATTTTATTAAAACCAGATCATTGCACAATATGTGAAATTACGCAAAGAAATTGATCTTTTGAAAATTTAATATCAACTTCAATACAAAAAGTATTTTTTAAATAATAATAATACTATAATAATTTAATTTCAAAAGATCGATGAACTTAATCCAGGTCGAGAGAAATTGTAAACAAAAAAAAAAAATTGTTCATTTGAAGTTTCAACAACAATAATTATCCCCCTCATTACCGAATGGTAATTAAAAACATGCTAGCGCGACTCTCCATTTTTTACAAGAGAGAAATGCCTTACACGTGTTTTATTATCATCGATCTTATCTTCTTCAATTTTTATATTCCTATACGAATCATAAAACTCGAAAACTGTAAAAACCTATTCAAACATTTTTCGATTACAACCTTCAAATGTACAACATTAAAAGTTTTTTTCGTAAAATTAAAAAGTAAATGAAAATAATAAATTTAAGAAAACAAAAATTTTAAATTCCATTTTTTCAGAGATATTCATTTAAAATTATTGACAGTCAAAATGAAAACAAACGTAAAAAGTAATATAAGAGTAAATTTTCTTTTTATGTAAATAGCAATAAAATTAAATCATTAGAAAATAATTTAATTTTCGACAAGTTATGTAAACAAACTGTTTGGCATATTATTTATATCACCACAAGACTAACCAAGAAAATCGAGGTCGTTTTAAAATTCACAGCGGAAACTCACAACCGCTTTTAATCAGGTTTTACCACTTTAAACAACAAGAATAACAAAAAATAAAAATAAACAACAAAAAAACTTCAATCTGAAAAGCAAGAAATGGACAACGACTACCTTAAACGGATCGATACAGAAAAGAATCCTTTGTCATCAAGATAAGAATGCACTCATTACTTTCTCACGAGTCCTGTATATATGTATTCCTGATTTTCAAAGAATCGCGTGAATCACGCAAAGCTGGAAAGACGTATTACATATAGTCATTGTCCCTAAGTTTTCTCGCTCAGGAAAAAGAAAAAAAAAACATTTGTTGATAATCAGCCGACGAAAAGTCGATACGATCAATAGAAATCAAATTGACACGGATGTTTTTTGTATCGCGTTTATAAACAAAAAAAAAATATAATTGAAAAAATTACTTACAAGTTGTAGAATGCATAATGTCAATAGAAAATATCTTCTGCTGCAAATTCCCATGTCATTTGGACAAAAAAATGATGCTCTTCTACGAGGCAGTCAATTACTTTCTTGAAATTTTGAGGTTAACAATTTTTTCACTAACACACTGCATCGTTTTTAGTCTACCGCGTTCCGATGCATCGCCATTTTTTAACACACTGCACTTGTTACACTTGTTATTTCGCTTTTCGTGGGTGCTTGAATGCAACCTGGCATCATGGTTCCATAACTCTGATGCCCACTCTCGAGGAGGTTACAGAGTCAATATGATTATTAATGCGCAAGCGTTAACTTGACTCACAATGTTTATAACTGCATGGCGGAAAATTCAAATACAAATATTTAATTTTAATTAAAAAATCATTATGATTTATAATTTAATTTAACATTTTTATTCACTTGTGATTTTCAATAATTTAAATAATCGAAATAAATTGAAATGTTGTTATAAATTTATATTTTAATTTAAAAAAATTATATAAATACCGTGGCGCTCAATCTTATATTGAAATCTATGCATGGTTGCCAATCTATTTTGTTTTTTTCACTTGTTATTATTCCATACAACGTCACAGGTATAAAAACAAAATTAGTTGGCAATACTGATTATAGTTTCAGGATTCACAAAACTCTAGCGGGGATTCACAAAACAATTTCAAATGATTTTACTTGAAAATAAAACAAAAATAAGTAGTATTTTTGCAAAGAAAGAATAAACAAAGAATAAAATAGAATAATTCAAGAAATACTAATAATGTAGTAAAATCATTTTTAAAAAAACGCAGTAATATTTATAATTATTAAAAGTATTCTTCTTCAAGAACTTTAAATCGTTAAATGCGCCTGTAGAGCTGCATTTTCTATACAATACTGTCTGTCAAATTGCATGCGTACAAATAATAATAATATTTCGTGCTAATTGGGTAATTTTAATTTTTAATTTGATAATTCACCTTAATTATAGTAAATTATCAATTTAATTTAATAATTTCAGTACTTATATTAATATTTGTAGAATTTGAAAAAATAAGATCTATGTGAAATGGTATGAACGAGTAAATTTTATTTACAATGTACATAATTACAATCATATTTTATGTTCACATCGCAATGCGCCTATTATTTATCGTCGAGGATTACAGAAGAAACGTAGGTTCATCTTAAACCTATAATAATAATAATAATAATGAAAAAGTTCATAAAATGTGGCACCCTTTGATTTGACAATATTTCTGTCATTTTTTTTTTTTTTATTTTATTTTATTAATAATTAATTCGTTAGTTTCATGTGTCTCATGCAAATCAAATTGTAGATGCATCAGTTAATGGTTTAAGTTGAATTCACATTTTCTCTGTATGAGTAAAAAATGCTTAGTTTTTTTTCTGAAATAATTTTTAAAAAAATTCAAATCTCTTGAAAATATTTCGCTTATTATATTTAAAAAAAAGAAATATTGTGTAGTTTAAAGGAAATATCTATACAGAGATTGTTCAAGGTCCTTAAAAAGTATTCGGCTAAAATCGATAAGAAAATAAAGAACCTCGAACAGTCTGGATTTTATTTTATTATTGTTTTTTTTGCTATTTAGAAGAATATAATCGGAAAATAAAAATGAAAAATTCATAATCTTTTTTTTTACTCATTTTGCTTTTTCGTGTTTAACGCATAGAAGTAAATATAACGAATTTTTTTTTTTTTATAACTTGCATGTCGCTTATTAAATATGTTTGCTTGCTTTTTTTAAATACTTGAATACACTTCGTTATATATAATTTCATCAGGAACTAAATTTTTACACAATGTAAAAATGTCCTTGAAAATTTGCTGCACATTTTTTTACGGTTTAGAATAATAATAATAATAATAATAATGTTTAAAAAATTTTTATTTTTACTTTTAAATAAAAATTTCTTTTTTTATAGATTAAAAAAAAAAAGTAATTAAAATACAAAATTAATGAAATAGCTTTCAAAACATTATTCTGGCAATTTTCCAAGAAAATTTATTACAAGGTATATAATGATCATTTTCTGTGTTTCACGTGAATTTAATAGAGCAGCCAATCAATAATTGCAATTCGTGTGACATTTGGGGTCAAAGAGTTTAAAAGAGTCCCTGAAAATCGCACGATTAATCAAAGCAAGACACATTTTTTTACTATTCTATTTACGTAGTACATATGTTTTTTTTCTACTAAAAGAATTACAGATATCAATGCATTCTCAAGAATTCAGAATTGACTTATTTTTAATTTTTTTATGACGATAAATGGAAAAAATTTATTTATTTAAAATAATAATCGATTACTTGACTATTAACAAATAAATATTTATTTTAATCAAACAATTCTTTAATTATTTTAAAAACTTCAAAGATTAAAATGATTAAATTTTTTTTTAAAAAAATACTAATTAATTGATGTTAATCAATAATGAGTAATTAACATAAATTTTTATTCTTAAAAAATGACAATAACAAGTGATTTTCTGAAATTATTGAGATGCTTTTAAGGTACACGTACGTAGATTATAACGGTAAAGTTTCATTGAAAAAATAAACATTTTGCTAAAACTTCTTTGTTTGAAAAGTTGTCTAGAATCTGTTAGCTATATGTCACATTTTTTTTTTTTTTTTTTTTTTTATATAGTCTCACTAACAATTTAATTCACTATAGCAAAATTTCTATATGGCCTCTCATATAATTACTATACCGTTGTCAATGATTTTCATAAGATGTCTGCTTTAATAAATACATTTTCAAGGAGGATATAATTTTCTTTTTACATTGAGAAAAAAAAATTATTTTCCAATCCAGCATTTAATTATAGAGAGAATTTTTTTGTTATATATTTTTAAGCTTTTAACAAAAACTTGAAATAATTTTGAAATCAGTTTTTTTTAAACACCTTTCCCCCCAATATATAATTATTTATTCATATATTTTATTATATTAAAAATCGAAAATTTAATTAATTTTAATTTATCAATTGAACTGTACATTCAACTTTATAATCGAGAAAAGTGGAGATAAAAATAAATATTAAAAAATTTTGTAAGTTAAACAAGTTAAAGAAGTACTTTCATAAAATTTGCAAACTTATATCAAATAAATAAAAATAACAGTTTATGATTTATTGATGCTTGATTAAAGAGAAAACGGCGTCTCTTTGCGCATAAAGCGTATCTATCATTAAATAAATATATTCGATGAGAAAACAATAGAATTCTGGGTAGTCATAATGCTAATCAAGCAAAAATAATAATTATATTTATACTACTAACTTACTCTCAATTTTTTGATATTTTCACTCCTTTCACCTTATTCACATAACGCTTAATGACAAGATACGAAAAAAAAAACCTTCGGTTCATTATATGCAAATTATTCCAATTGCATATTTATATTTCAAAAATAATTTCAAGAAAAATGTTAAAAATTTTCATATAACAAAAATTAATTTTCAAATCAAAAGTTGTTTTGTTTTATTATTTATTTACATTTTTTTAAAAAAATATTATTAAAATCAAGTGATTTATATTTTATTAGCATTAAAAAAGTTAGAAATATTGATAAATTCAACTATTTGACATTTTTTAATTCTTTAGTCTCAAAAGTACCTAAGAATAATTTTATGCGGTAAATTTTTTTTTCTTTTTTAATTTATAGACAATTATTAAAAAATGTTTAAAAATTATTTTATAATAATTTTACAAATTTCCTGTAAAACTTCCTAATAAGCAAACTATGAAAAAAATTGCTAAAATTTTGAAAAATGTCATTTACCATTATTATAAAAAACAGAATAAATAAATAAATTAAATAAGTAAATTGAAATAATTAAAAAGAAATAAATGTGATAATTAAAAAATTGAAAAATTAAAGCTTAGTGCATAATTATACGTTACTTTTTTTAGGGTTCCGTACTCGGTTCGGAACCCTATTAATATCGGTTTTTTTGAAATCGTGTACCCCCCCCCTAGCGGCCACATAAATTTATCTGGAGGGCTGAAAATTAGTACACATATGTATTTTCGCGTGTAGATTACAGGAAAATTATAGCGAACTTGATTGGAATTGATTAACATAGCGTTGTCAAGGAAAAACCATGAATTTTTACGAAAAATGCCTAAAAATGACTATGTACCCTCCCCCTAGCGGCCACATCTTTTGACATAAAGAGCTCAAATTTGACACACTTACGTATTTTTACGTGAAAATTACAGGAAAATTATAGCGAACTTGATTCGGATCAATTTACATAGCGTTGTCAAGGAAAAATCAAAAATTTCGAAAAAAAATAATTTATTCTCCCTAGCGCACACAATATTCAACCCAGACAGATCATATTTAGTATACAAATGTATTTTTACGGGAAAAATACAGGGGAAAAAAAGCGGTCACGATTAGAGTTGATGATTAACTTTTTATCAAGTTTTTCAAGAAAAAATGACAATTTTAGGAAAAAAATGTATTTTTCCACCAAAAACGAACAAAATTTTATTTAAAGGAAATTAAATTTATATATTTTAACGTATTTTTACGTGTAGATTACAAAAAAAATATAGCGAGCATGATTGGAGTTGATTATCATAGCGTTGTCAAGGAAAAACCATGAATTTTTACGAAAAATACCTAAAAATGAGTATGTACCCCCCCCCTAGCGGCCACATCTTTTGACATAAAGAGCTCAAATTTGACACACTTACGTATTTTTACGTGAAAATTACAGGAAAATTATAGCGAACTTGATTCGGATTAATTTACATAGCGTTGTCAAGGAAAAATCAAAAATTTCGAAAAAAATGATTTATTCTCCCTAGCGCACACAATATTCAATCCAGACTGTTCATACTTGCTGTAAAACTCAATTTTTGCGTGAAAAATACAGGGAAAAAATGTAAGCGCGATTGGAGTTGATGATCAATTTTTATCAAATTTTTGAAGAAAAATGATAAATTTCAGAAAAAAATGTATTTTTCCGCAAAAAACGAAAAAAGTTTTTCTACAGTGATTCAAATTTATATATTTTGACGTATTTTTACGTGTAGATTACAAAAAAAATATAGCGAGGATGATTGGAGTTGATTTTTCTGGAATTAATAAACAAATTTTATTTTTTAGATAACTTTCGATTTTTCCTTGACAAGCAGCTACTAGCCTTATATCAATATCTTAAGTTTTATCTCTTTTTGACTTAGAAAGATAAAATTTAATATTCAATATATTTTTAAAATGTAAATACAATAAAAATATTGCGAGTTGAAATAAAATTATGTTTCTTATATTTTTTTAATAAAATATTTTTTAAAAAATAAAATCGGACAAGTGCGAGTTACACTCGCACTGAAATCGAGGGTTCCGTACTCGAAGCGAACTTATTTGGTATAAAAACAAATGTTTAAAAAATATGTGTTGTATGACAACTAATATAAGTGATACGAAGAGGAACAATTTTCTTGAATTTTACAAAATTGTTCCTTTTTGTATCACTTATATTAGTTGTCATACAACACATATTTTTTAAACATTTGTTTTTATACCAAATAAGTTCGCTTCGAGTACGGAACCCTCGATTTCAGTGCGAGTGTAACTCGCACTTGTCCGATTTTATTTTTACATCACTTTGCATATTTACGTACAGATAAATGATACGTGGAACTTGAATCAATTATTATTAATAAATTCTCAAAAGTTTATTAAAATGATTTTTAAAAAAATGAGATGAATTTTTTTCATGACTTGATAATATATATAATATAATAATATGTTTATTAAAATGATTTCTAAAAAAATGAGATGAGAATATTTTTCCTGACTTGATAATATATAATATGTATAATAAATGGAAAATACAGTTCACTGACATGAAATCATAAATATTTTTAAAAAAAAGGGTTCTCTTAATTGCAAACATTATTTCTGAGACCGCTTCTCATAAACTAAATGCTGGATGTCTCGTTGGAGATGAATTTTGGGGACTCTTAATGGATCTTCCGTGGGTGTTTTTTTTCTTTTTTTTTTTTTTTAAGGACTGTTGGGCGTTTTTAGTCGTCCATTGTCCCATTTCGCCGTAACATTATTCAACATGTAAAGCAGTAAGGCATTGTTGGATATGTCAGCTGAAAATTTCCGGCCATTCGGACTGCGCGTTTCGAAAGCTTACAAAAATATTTGTCTCTCAGAGCCCGTTTTGCCGAGTTTTCTGTTTATTATTTTGTTTTTTTCTTTATAATATTGTATATATATATATATATTTTTTTATTTAAAGTTTGCTTGAAGAAGATTCGCTCGGAAAAAATTTATCTCTACCGTTTCTTGAACCGTTGCGTCGCATCTGTGTTCATTATGTATATATATATATATTATATATTATTTTATCGTTTATATTTTCATTATTATATACACGTATATAATATAGTAAAATTAAAAAAGAAAATAAAGAAAATTATTCCAAGTAGTTCAGGTCGTTTATGGTCAGACGCGACGTACAGTAAAAGTCTTAAATTAGTAGTAAAATCGTCTGAAACCCTCTTAATAATTAATTGGAATAGATTCTTCGTTATTTTAATTTTTTTGTTTCTTCAAAATCCTAATTTTCACAAATTTAAGAAATTTTTTTTTTTAGTTTTTGATGAATAGTGGTTTCTTAAGAGAAAAATGTAGAATTTTTTTTTTTTTAATTAAAAAATCAACGATCAGACAATTTTTTAATTAAAAAAATATCTGTAGTAAATAAACTAATTTAAATTGCCTCGCTTCAATAATTTTTTTTTGGATTAAAAAAAAACGAATATATTCAAGAAGAGAACATTTTTTCAAATCAAAGAAATTTTTTCTATATGTAAACAAAAATTTAAAAAATATTTTTTCTCCAATAAATTTTTTGAGAAAAAAAATTTCTATTTTATTAAACATAGGTATATAGAAGAAAAATGTTTTAAAAATATATATATGTGAGAAATATAATTAGGAAAAATTTATTTTTCCATTTAAAAACCACTATTCGTTAATTTTATTTAATGTGTTAAATATATTTTTTAAATTAGAGAGCTGCTGATTAAAAGCAGTGCGTATTTTCAACTTCATTGTGCGTGCTATTTATAAAGACAGTGAGTAGAATAAAACCCGATGTGTATAACAATTCAAGATTAAACACCATCCATTCTTTCGCTTATTTTCAAAATAAAACTTTCCACGCCATTGGTTCTTCCATATTAAAAACGCTCCCTCTCTAATTATTATTATTATTAGTAGTAGTATTATTATTATACATATTATACTCAGTTATCTCACAAATTTGCATAGCTTAATAATTAATATTGCAATCTTCCTCATTTTTAAAATGATAAATATTAAATAAATTTTTTTTTAATATTTAAAAAATAAAACAATGTTTTTATGAATTTTTTATAATAATAATAATAATAATAATTAAAGTAATAATTAATTAAAATCTGTCAATTGAATTTGAAAATTGAATTTTTAAAAAATTAGTAAATGTTCTTTTAAGCATAAAATTAATTGAAATTTCTACAATTTAATTCTACTTAAAATAAAAATTTATTTGAAAAAAATATGTAGTCAAAAATGTCAAATTATTTCTTATAAATTGAAGAAGCAAAATTTTTTAAAAATTTTCCTTTTTTTTTCTTATTCATGTTAAAAAAATGAGGAACTTTGCAAATCTATTGCACTACTTTGGCACATTTCCAACTTAATGGTCCTAGTAAAAGATACTAGATAATATAACTCTATACACTTATACACTCGAGCATAGGCATTTTCTCACAAAAATTTGCTTGGCTTTCTTGTACGTTTTTTGTAATTATTTCACATCACTAATTTTGCAACCAGCGTTGGCGAGAAATCGCAGATTATCGTCCTTATGTATATACGCTATGAATATAAATTTAACGTTTCAAAATAATTACATTCTTAGGGCCAATTTTTTTTTTTTTTTTTGTTTTCTATGTAAATATAAGTGTGATAACAAATTTAATTTATCAATAAAATATCAACATTATTAGAAATAATTAACAAAAATATAATAACAATATTATACAAATTAATTAGCTACATTATAATTAATTATTTGGTTGATTAATCCAAATATTTAGTAAATTACTTAATTTAACTAATTATTTAATTAATTTTTAATAATAAATTATTATTATAGTATCAATTACTTTCAACATATTAAACATTTTTTAAATAAAAATTTTCAATTAATAACATATAAATTATTTACAGTTATCATAATATAAATTTTATTTTTTCAGTTCTTTTTACAAAATATTTAAAATCTAATGAATTTAAAGATATAAATATATATTATATATATATACATATTAGAATTGTTTTTTTTTTTTTTTTTTTTATCATTTTAGACGACAATCCGCGATTTAACGTTTCTGTCAGAGAATCAATATTTTTAAAAACTACAATAATATTGCGAGCTAAAATGTTAACTTTTGAAAATATCGTATATATTTTATCACTTTTGCATGTGTACTTTTTTTAATTGTTCTAAATACATTTGCAAAAGTTTCGCATCTAGCATATTTTACAATTTCACTACTGCAATTTTCGGCATTATCAGGTATGTATATTAATATATTCATGTATCAGTACTAATATATAATATACTTTGTAAGCATTAACAATTCCCATAATAAGTCTATATATTACATTGTATACGACACGTGGCACAAGATGAAAATCATAAAGAGTACAAATATTTCCTTGGATTATTTTATAATTTTCTATTCAAGAAAATTGTTATTGTAAAAAAAAATGTTTACAATATTTAACAATTTTTGAAAATATTTAACAATGGTATTTTCCATTTAACGTTCACCACATTTCTCAGAATAGATTTATTTTATTTTTTAGTTTGTTTTCTTTTTCAAATGAATTTATGTTTTAAACTCCTTTTTAGAATAATTTTTTTTCTCCTCTTTTTTCAGTCTGTTTTTCAAAAACAATTTATTTTATTTTTTCAGTTTATTATTGAGAAACAGTTATTTTTTTCTCTCTGTCTATGTAAAATTATTTGCAAAAAAGTGTAATAATTTTTTTTTTTACTCTTTATGGTTTTCATCAGATAACAAGAAACTTTTATAACAGATTAGGTCAACAGTGAATAATGCATTTTCTCGTTAAGAAATTCAAATAATTGTGCGTAAACTGTGTCAATTATTTTTTTTCTCCCATTGTTTCGGAAAACAAATAAAATTAATAACAGAAAATTGAAATCAAAAACTGGTGTTTTAGTTTAAATTGACTTTTTTCTAGAAATGAAAAGTTTATAATAATTTCAAAAAAAAAAGGTGACTGAAACAATTTTTTTTAATTCCTGTACATAAATTTTATTTATATTTTAATTAAAATTTATCGAAAGTAATTTTTAAATTGTTTAAATCGTGTCAATAGTGAAGAAACTAGAATTTTTTAAATTTTTAATTGAAAATTATGTTGAAAATTAATAGTAACAATTTAGTGATATAATTAGTAAAGAAAAATTTTTATTCATAAATTAATTAGAAAAATATGAAAATAAGTAAAAAAAAAAAAAAGAACTTTGGCACAGTTGACGCTTTTTTCTATTACTCGTCAATCATATTCACTGACTAGTCTTTATAATACTGAATGCAAATTGTTACCACAGTTTATTTTTTTTTCTCTCTCTTTTTTTCTTATTCTTTCACACACTCACACATACATTATCATTTAAAAGTAGAATTTTTAACTTAAATTGAGATAGGTAACTTTGTTTCTTCATTCAAGTCTCTTACGATTAAAAGCTTCAAAATCAGATTAGCGTAAATTTTCCCACCACCAGGGTCAGATATTAAGTATTTTATAAACAGTACCTTGTTTCTCGAGAGTCCTTTTATTGACATGTTATATCATGGCAATGGTGATCACAGCATCAGAATCAAAGAAGAAATAATTTGATTTTTTTCCCCCTTTTTTTCTCTCTTCTTCCTCTGTCTCCGTCTACATCATTTTTCTCTTAGATTTATTTTGTACTTTTTTACATATGCTTTTTCTTTGAATTGAAGAATCAAAATGCAAGGGTTACGTTGGCAACTTCTTTTATCACTGTGGTTTTTCATTGTTACAGAAAAGAAGACTTCTTCTTTTTTTTTTGTAAAATTTTTCCATCCCTATCGTCTTGATTAATTTTCAAGTTTTTATTAATTTTTTATCCTAGATAATTTTTTTTATGACTAATTTTCGAATTTTTTTAACTTTATGTTGGTAATAATTTTTCTAGTTCGAGTGTACTTTATTTTTTACTCTTTTTTCCCCTCTATTACCAGTCTTTGATTCTCGGATTTTTTTTCTGATTCGTTTTCTAATTTCTTACTTTTCTTTTATCCTGATTCTTTTATTTGTTTCTATTTAATGCCACATACGACTATTCGGAGACTGACTAGGAGAAAGAAGTATATAGGAGTGGAATTCTCATTTTGAATTCAATCACTTTTTCATTCGGCACCTTCTTGTTCCTCAGCATCCAAATCGACTTTTCTCAAAACAAGTACTCTGGGGGCTCTTTGCTATGGTACATCAGACTCCGAGGTGGGAGATTCTTGCTACGCTTCTAAGAAAATCAAGGCTGTTGGTTTCGGCTCCAAGTTACTCTTCTTGGCCTCAACTACAAGGAACTCGATGTCATTACGATCCCTCCGCGCCCAAGACTCTGCTATCAGTCTAGCTACTTCCTGATGATGTAGCCCTAAAACATTTTTACAATATTTTTTTTATTATATATATATATTCGAGATTTTTAAAAATAAATTTAGAATATAAAAAATTATCCTATTACTGTAAAATTTAATTTAATGTTTCCTATTGAGTTTTTATAATAAATCTGTTGTAAATTCATTGTCACTTCTTTTTCCTGTTAAGTATTAATTTAAGGAAGTAAGAATTTCTTTAAAGTTATGAGAATTTTATAAATTAATTAATTAAAAAAAAAAGAAAATTATTTTGAACAAATTTTATAAAAATCGAAATTTCGAAATCGAATAAGTAAAACAATTTTTTAAAAATGAAAATTTGACAACTGAAGTAAGATGAATTTAGCAGAAAATCTGTGATGACATATATATAAATGAAATAATTATTTTTGTTCAGTATAAAAAATGGAGAGAATGATTGAGACATTATTAAGGGTATTAACCTTCGACCTTGTGTCCGTCGACTTCGAGAATAAGTTGACCCACCTCGAGGCCACCAGCTTCATAAGCTGCTCCATTGTCCTGAAACACATTGAAAACCAAAACGATCTTAATGCATTATACAATTCGTTGCCTATAACTCTTCCATTGTACACCAATAGAAAAACGTCAATTTAAAGTTATTCAAGTTTCATATACCTATATATATAACAATGGTCCTCTAGGGTAAGTATCATTGATCCATATACATTATCATAGCAGAGTTTGCTACGGTTAAAAAAAAAATATTAAATTCCTTTACTTTTTCAAATTTGCAAATATAATAATTCCAAATTTAATATCTTCAGTTATTTCTTTTATTACCCAAATATTGATTTCAAAATTTGTTATTTTTTTCCGCAATACAAAATAAAAATGTTAAAAAAAAAATTTCCGCTATAAAAAAAAAAATTTATTTTTAGTCTTTAACAAAAAACCAAAATTTTGTAATTTTTTTTTGCTTTTACCGTTTGTTTTTATTTTGAACGAAAACGAAAATATTTTTAACTTGGTTTTGACATTAAGAGAAAGAAAATTACGGTAAAATTATAGAAAATATTTATTGATTTTATTATTGTTTAATAAAAAAAAAAAGACAAAATAAAATTGTTCGCTTTCGTGTTGTTTTCATAACACTTTTTTTTGATATTGACTGCGATTTTTAAATAAATTATTTAATCTTGTGGGAATATTTTTATCCAAAAATGTTGATAATATATTGGTAAAATATTATATAGAAAAATTATTGTAAAATTTTTAATGAATTATTATTTTTTGAAATATTTTTTTGATTGAATATTTCTATTGTACGGTTTTGAAAAAATTCTTTAGGAATTTTAATATAATAATTTTAACGAAAATTTACACGATATTCTATTAGAATAATTCTATATAAAATAATTTAAATAAATATTTCTACAATGCCAATTAAATAATCTTCTAAAATAATTTAAACAAATAAATATTTCTACAATAATTTTATGCAAATATTTTTACAATATTTTAATAAAAATGGTATTATATCAATATTTAAAATAAATATTCCTATTATTGAAACGTTAAGCGAAAGGTAAAAGAAAAGGGCTAATGTAATTAGCATTCAAATGATCCTTTATTAATAAATGGTGATGTTAACTGTTCGAGTATCTTCGAACTACTGAATTACAAATGTAAAAAGAAATAGAGGGCAGCATTGAGTATACAGGGGTGTAGCTTGAAACAAAATATAAGTACATTTCCAATACTCCCCCTCAAGCGAAAACAACATTTTTCTTTTGACAAAATAAAAATCACTAATTTATGTTAACTTTGTTCATTTATAGTCTTTTTATTGGCACAGTAACTCATTCCGAATTGAGTTAAACATTTTTGATGTTTAGGTCCAGATAGACCTTTGGTGAACACATCTGCCATCATTTCTGTCGATGAAATAAAATCTAGCGTGATCCAACCATGTTGTAAAGCTTCTCTGACAAAATGATGACGTATGTCAATGTGCTTACTTCTTGAATGGAAAACGGGATTTTGAGCCAGTTTTTGTGCACCCAAATTGTCATTAAAAATTGGAACAACTCCCTGACGTCTGATTCCTATTTCATTGAGGAGTCCCTGGAGATGTGCAGCTTCCTTGGCGGCCTCTGTCAATCCCATGTATTCCGCCTCCGTACTGGATAAAGCCACAGTTCGTTGCTTTTTAGCTTGCCAACTGACTGCACCACCAGCGAGCACGAAGACGAATCCAGTATAGGATCTTCGGTCATCCAAACACCCACCCCAATCAGCGTCGACAAATCCTTCCAAACCTTTTGAAGTTTTTTGGTACTTCAATCCCAAATCTGAAGTCCCACGAAGATATCGAAGGATTCTTTTGGCTGCCACCCAATGTTCCGTTCCGTGTGAATTATTAAATTGACTAAGATGATTCACTGCATACACTAAATCTGGTCGCGTAGCCACGGCTAGATACATGAGACTTCCTATGAGCTCTCTGAAAGGATATTTTTTTTCTTGTTTCAATGACTCGTCAAGTTTCTTTAACTTTGTTCCAGGATCCAAGGGTGATGATGTTGGTTTGCAGTCCTCCATTCTGTATTTTTTTAAAAGTTCCTGAATGTATCCAGTTTGTGAAATTTTCAAACAATTGCTCTCTTGATGGAATTCAATTCCCAGGCAGTGTTTTGCAGTACCTAAATCCTTGATGGCAAACTTCTGTCCGAAATCCTTTTTGAATCTTGAAACCCAGTCACTGTGATTTGAGAATAACAATATATCGTCGACGTAAATTGCTGCTATTAATATATCATTTCCATTTTTTGCAATGTAGATACAGGGGTCAGCATTAAGTGGTTTTAGTCCAAGCATTCTAAGATTTTTCTCCAATTTCAGATACCACTGCCTCCCAGCTTGCTTCAGGCCATAAATCGCCTTCCTCATCAAACACACTTTATTCCCTTGTTGTAAGATCTTCAACATCTCAGATGCAATTTTCGAATGATTCTTTATTTCCTCCATCGATGATATTTCTGGGAGCATTTCTTCAAAAAGTTCAGGAATTTCCATGAAGATTTGCTCTTGAATATCTCCATTTAGAAATGCAGTGGTAACATCCAATTGTTGAATTTGTAGATTATTTTCGACGGCAAGAGCAATCAAGAGCCTGATGGATTCTAGACGAACAACTGGAGCAAATGTTTCCTAGAAGTCAAGTCCAGGTTGTTGAGAGTATCCTTTGGCTACCACTCGTGCTTTTCTTTTGTCCAAAATTCCCTCTGCATTCAATTTATTTCGAAGTATTAATCGGCTACCAATTATGTTTCTATCATTGGGACGATCGACCAATTCCCAAGTTTTGTTTATGATAAGAGCCCGGAACTCTTCTCGAATCGCACGCTTCCAATCTTCAGCCTCGGCTCCAATCAGCGCTTCTTTTACCGAAATTTCTGCTAAATTGGCTGATTCCGAATATTTTTCGAATGCTGAATTTGCAGCTGTCTTGTAAATTTTTCTTGGTCTTCCAGAATTTCCTGATTTCACAATTTTGGGTCGACCAGGCAATCTTGTTTCGTTGATTCCTTGATCATTTTCGAATCCGTGAAAATCTTCTTCTTCTTCCGATATTTCTTCTTCTTCACGAACAGTTTCTGCATGAGTTCCGTTGTTATTGGTCGTTACGTTGATTTCGATCCAGTTCTCGGTTTCTTGTTTTTCTTTTGTCTGCTCCAAAGTTTCCAATGAGATGAAGTCCTCGAATTCCCTTTTTGGTAAAAAATCATCAATGAATTTGACATCTCTTGTTAGTTCGACTTTCTTTTCGTTGATTAACCAGACTCTGTAACCCTTAGTTTCATTTGAGTACCCTAAAAATAAACACTCACGAGCGCGAGGTTCGAACTTCCCTTTTCCAGGTAATTTATTGAGCGAAAATCCTTTACTGCCAAATGTTTTCAGGTATGATAGGTTAGGACTGATTCCGGTCCATTTTTGAAAAGGTATCTCGCCGTTTAAACTTCTTGAAGGTGATCTATTTCTCAAATGATTCGCCGTCAACACGGCTTCGGCCCAAAAACACGCTGAAAGATTCGAACTTATCAGCAAACACCTTGCCATCTCTACCAGTGTGCGGTTCTTCCTCTCTGATACCCCGTTTTGTTCGGGAGTATGAGGTACAGTGAGTCTTCTGACAATTCCACAATTTTCGAGATAATTGTCCAATTCCGTGTTTTTGTATTCCTTCCCATTGTCCGACTGTAAACATTTCACTTTGAATCCAGTCTGCTTCTCTACCATCACTTTGTAGCTTTTAAATGCATCCGTCAAATCACTTTTCTTTTTCAAAAACTTAACTTCACACCACCGAGTTGCGTCGTCTGTAAATGTCTCGAAATATTTTGCTCCACTTAAGGATTCCTTCCGCATAGGCCCGCACAAATCCGAATGCACTAATTCGAGTGGTTTTGTTTTTCGCGATGACTCTTTCGGAAATGGCGTTTGCACTAATTTCCCTAAAACGCAGGTTTCACACACTTTTAATGTTTCGTTTTTTTGACATTTTATTCCCTGAGTTTTCATAACACTTTTTACGTCTTTTTCGTTGAGATGACCGAGTCTTCGATGCCACAGTTCCAGTTTATTAGGATGATCACTTTCCGACACAAGGTTTACCGTTTCAGTTTTTTCTTTTAGGTAATATAAACCGTCAATTCGTTTCGCTGATAACTTTTCACTTCCACTCGCGTCAAAAATTACAGCTGAATCCTTTTTGAACATCACTGAGTATCCATTATCACAGATTTTTCCGACTGACATCAAGTGGGTTCTCAGGTCAGGTACGTACAAGGTATTTTCAAGATTCAGAGATTTAGTTTGATTACAATCACCGATTAAAACATTCACGGTACCTTTCGATTCAATTTTAGTTGTTGCTTTACTCGCTAAGCTTAATTTATCACTTTCACACTTTTCATGAGAAATAAACTTTTCTTGGTCGTTGCACATGTGTGATGTGCAACCACTGTCCAGGCACCATTTAGTTTCAAACGGATCACTTTCGGTTTTTAACGCGGATTCTTCAATAATTGTCGTAAGAAATCCCATTTCTTCTATATTGGCACTTTTCTCAGTTGACTTGTTCAATCCCGATCGACAGTCAATAGATTTGTGTCCAATCTTCCGACACTTATGACACTTAAATGGAAAATAGTTTTTCGTCTGCTTTCCAGGTTCCGGTTTGTTTTCTTTTTTGTTGAATTTTTTAAAGTGACCACCTTTGGCGCTGTTGGCTAGCATGGCTTCTGAGTTTTCTTGCTGCTTGGAATTTCTTGCATCGCTTTCTTCTATAATCTTGATTTTCAGATCCTCAGCACTTGGTAAAGTGTCTCTTGTTTCGATGGCGCATCGAAAGTTTTCGAAACTATACGGTAGACTGTATAATAACATTATGGTTAGTTGATCTTGATTGATAATTACATCCATTTCTTGCAGTTTATCGACTGCATCAAAGAATTCTCGGATGTGATCACGGATGTCGCCACCTTCCACCATCTTGTGCAGGGTCAGTTTTTTCAGAAGGGCCGCTTTTCAAGCCGGTCCTTTTGACTGATAGATAGAGTGAAGTTTTAACCAAACAGAATTAGAGGTCTCACAGCCTTTGATCTGTTTGAGTTCAGATGGATGAATTGCCAATACGAGGTCCGAATGTGCCTTTCTGTCAGCAATGTCCCAAGCGTTCCTTGCGATTATCGAAGCAGCTGCTCCTTCTCCGTCAGCAATTTCTGGTTTTGTCTTCTCACCATTAACAAATTCCCACGCGTCATTTTTCACAAGTAGTGCCCTGACTTGAAGTTTCCACGTATCGAAATTGTCTTTTGATAGTGGTTCAATGCGCACCGAATGTGAGGAAGCCATTTTGTACGTTCTCAACTACACGCGCGTCACTTCGATTTTAACCAAGATTACTTCAAGCACTATTTTGTTACGAGTTTCTTTTTATTCCCAATCGCGGAGTTAAGGGTCTGGGCCCATAACCTATTGAAACGTTAAGCGAAAGGTAAAAGAAAAGGGCTAATGTAATTAGCATTCAAATGATCCTTTATTAATAAATGGTGATGTTAACTGTTCGAGTATCTTCGAACTACTGAATTACAAATGTAAAAAGAAATAGAGGGCAGCATTGAGTATACAGGGGTGTAGCTTGAAACAAAATATAAGTACATTTCCAATACCTATAACATATCCACCACCAGAAAAAAAAAGAAATAAAATAAAATGACTCGGATTTTTTTATTGATGACATGAAAATACATCGAAATTCAAATTAGATTAAATAAAAATTCATTTAAAAGAAAATTTCGTCAAATAATATTCTTGTGATATTTTGTTGGAATAATCATCATTTTTTTTATGAATTGTTATAATTTTTAGTATATTCAAATTTTTCAAAGAAAATATAGAGGCCTTTTCACAGAGATTTTTCATGTATAATGAAGTCAATCCTTTTATATGGAATGACATTTAAATCTAGTATTGAAAAAAACAAGGTATCATCTTGTCATGGATAAAAACAACTTAATGACTTGTATAAAGAATGTCGTAACTATTGTTTTGCTAATGATTTTATATAATTAATTTTAAAAATTTATTTATTTCATTTTAATGCGAGATAGCTAATAAATCAATTGTTTAAAAATAATAATTACTACGATTAGAAAAAATTTTTTAATTTCAGCAATATTGTTAGACAAATTAAAATTTTTCTCAATTTTATTAAATGCCTTGTAATAAAAATATTGTAAGAATATATTTTTTTTTTAAATGGTTGAAAATATATTTCATTGAAATATCTTAGGAATATTTATTTAAAATATTTTAATTTATAATTTTATTCTTTTGACAATACAATATTTAAATTTCAATACTGAAATCAAAATAAGTTTCTAAAAATATTAAAAACCCTAAAATAATTGTTTATTAAAGTTATAAACAATTAAAATTTTTATCTGTCATAAATAAAAAAAATTTTTCTCGAGATTTAGTTGACAAATTTCAAAAAAATTTCTCGTCTTGAAAATTTAAAACTAATTTTTCTTAAAATGTAAAACACCATTTAAAATAACAATTTTTTAAAAAGAAATATTTTTAAATACCACATATACCAAGACGAGAAAAATCTATTTTTGTTTTTAAATTTGTCAACTGGATCTCGAGTAAATTTTTATTTTTATTCATGACAACTAAAAATTTTAATTGTTTATAATTTGAACAATTTTTTTTTATTCTAAAAAAAAAAATTTTCATCAATTTATTTTGATCACAGTTGGAGTAAAAAAAAATCATTTAACATTAAAAAACTTAAATTTGTTAAATTTGAAAAATTCTGAGTCAATAAAAAAAAAAAAAAAAAAGATACTTACATGAATATTGATAATTCTAGGCAGTGGATGTTTGGTGTTTGCACCTCCCTCAATGGCAATACCCAAAATAGATTTGGTTTTCTTGACAGTGATTCTCAGATTACCCTGATGATCAGGTACAACTAGAGCAGCATCCTCGTCTCTCCTTTCAGAGAGATCGCCTCTCGCCAATCTCTGGGCACTGTGGTGTCTTCGGGGTGGTCCACCTGAGCCTGCACTTCCAGTGGTTCCACTTCCGGAACCACTTTCGTCAAGAAGCTGTGCACCTTGCATGTCAAAGCTGCGTGATAACTTGTGCGCGAGTTCCTGAAACGAGCAAAACTTCATTCGTCTTTTTTGTAATAAACTGTCACTCAACAACAACTCCTTTCTACCGTCACAGCGATAATACTTGCCTCTCACTCTCTTAATTTTTTAATTTTTTTTAATATCTACTATTTTTCATTATTTTTAAAATTAGTTATTGTTTTGATTTTTTAAAAAATAAAAACTAAATTATAATTTTTATCATGCTTGAAATTTTTTACGAAAGTAAATTGTAATTTTAAAAAACAGGAAATTTGGAAATTATTATTATTTATTTTGTAAAAGTATTATTGAGAAGAAATTCATTGTACTTGACGAAAGACTTTTTCTTTTCCTATATTTATTATTGATTTTCATTTTTTGTTAAGTTTTTCTTTCTTTTTAAATTAAATTAGAATAATTAGATTTAAATGAATTCTCTTAATTTTACTTTTTTTTCTTCTCAAGTTTAAAAAAATGAAAGTTGTATGACCGCTGCAACGTGTAATGAACTGACATAAAGCATTTTTTTTTTTTTTTTTTTTTTTTTTTTTTTTTTTTTTTTGACACGAACATACGTCAAAATAATGCTTATGCGTTCTACGAGCTAAAATATTTTTAAAATCATTTAATTCCTTATGTACATTGGAAAAATATCAAAAAATAAGTAATTTTTTAAAACATCGAAATCAAATTTGCGTCGATAAATGGCGCATTAACATTCTAAAAGGTGTCATTAATTTTTTTTAATTTTTATTATTATATTTAGGTATATCATTTTGAAATAGTTTTTATATAAAATTTAATTAAATTAATTTAATGTTTAAATAAATATATTTATATAAGATTAAATTCTTTAAATAATTTTTAATTTGAAAGTAGTTTAAAATTTAAAAAAAAAATTTAAATTAGTTAAAAATAATCAAAATTGACTGAAAAAAAATTATTTGAAACAAATATGAGACCTAGAAGCGTTTAAAATAAAAGAGAAAATTTTAAATCATCGTTAATCACACATTTTTAGGATAATAATGCAATTTCGATTTCAGATGAGAAGAAGTATATATAATAATGTATAATAGAGATAATATATATATTAGATATGTGAAATATATAAGAATCATGCTTGCTGATAAACTAGTAGTGGTACAGGGTGTTTGGTGGTGCTCGGAGAGTGGTGGTGGTGGTGTTTTTTTTTTTTTTTTCTTTACTTTTCATTGTTACGTCACATTGAGTTTTGACACTCCAAAAACAAGTTACAAGATACATTTCTATAATATATATATATATATATATATTGAATGTTTCAGAAAATTCTGATCACAAGCTATATTTGCATCGAATCACATTCGGAAATATTTTCATCATGCCTTTAATTTTTATATTATTAAAAAAAAAAATTAGTTTCATTTTTTTTTTATCTAATATTTTTAATCAAAATTTTTAGAAAAAAAAAATTAATTTATTATCTGACAAAGAAATTAAATGTTCTCATTTGTTAATAATAATAATAATAGTTTTCTTTTCTTATATTTTCATTTTCATCGCTTCAATACTCGTATGATTTACGAGCTGTATATATATATATATATAAAATATATGAATAAAATTTATCTATATGGATGTTCGACTGAAAACCCGGTGGTTTCGGTCGGAAGATTTGGAAATCGAGTTAATTATGAAGTTCGCGGCTCGTTTCTTTTGATTTTCGAGGAGAGAAACGTGAAGAAAGGTGAAAGTGTTGATAATCTGCAAATAGATGCATCGCTATTTGGAATTTTCTTCTTTTGACAAAAGAGTTTTAGATCCACAGAATCTGTCATTTTTTTTTATATCGATATCCATGTGAATAATAATAATATTTAATTAATAATTAGTAATAGTAGATTTTTAATTGATATTAATAGCGAGTAAAGGAAAGAAATCACAAACGTATTTCTCAATGAAGAACGATAAAAATATACATATATATTTTTGTGATTAAGTATCGATGGTTCGCTTAAAAATTCATAATTATTATACAAAAAAGGGGAAGAATTTAAAAAAAAAAAAGTTATAATTAAATAATAAAGAAATAATAATTTATAAAAAAATAATTAAATTATTTTTTAAGATAAAATAATTTATTCTTCTTTTAAATAAAAAACTTAAAAAAAATGAAATAATTTAATTCGAAATATTATTAATAGAATATAGTGGCTGAATCCATTTCAAAACGTACAGGTCGACCACCTTCAGGTTGTAGATTTTCCTGTCGATGAAATATTTTATTCTACATGACAAATAAAGAGACACGTATTTTTTTATTTTTCATAAAAATTATGTTTAACGAAGTTATGGTCATTTGAAGTTTGAGTGGTAAAACTCGAAAGAACAATGAAAAAAAATTGTTTCGCCTGTAATTTTTTTTTTAATGAATGCAATCAAATTATTTTTCTTGAAATATTTTCCAATTCAAATTATCATTCAAAATTTTTTAAAAAATTTAAAGTTTTAATTTTCAATTTGGAAATTAATATTTGCAAATTTCATTTTAAAATAAATTGATTAAGTAAAAATTCAAGATAGTTTATTTTATAATAATTCAAATATTAAAAAAATATTTTTTCAAATTATTATGAATTATTTTCACATATAAATAATTAAATATTTTTATTGCACATTAAAACACATTTAAAGTAACTGAATATTGGAATACATTATTGTTGGTTATAAAATGACTCACTTCAGTTAGTTCATTTGTTCTTGAAACTGCACGTCAGCCATTTCAAATTTCGTAAAAAAAGATATTTCAAAAAAAATTTCTCCTTACTACCAGGATTGTTTAGCCCTCTTGAAACTCCTAGGATTAGTTCTTCATATTGGTAAGAATTTATGGTAAAAATTTGTGAGAAAAAAAAAGTGGGATTTTTTAGAAAATTAACTTTAATGATTTTTAGAAAATCATCTCCTGTTTTGTTAATTTTGAATCTTTTTTCCAATTTTAAATGGGATTTTAAAGAGGAATATAACCCTCTACAAGATCCAAGAAAAATAATTTGATTGCATTCATTAGAAAAAAAATTACAGGCAAAACAATTTTTTTTCATTGTTCTTTCGAGTTTTACCACTCAAACTTCAAATGACCATAATTTCGTTAAACATAATTTTTATGAAAAATAAAAAAATACGTGTCTCTTTATTTTTCATGTAGAATAATATATTTCATCGACAGAAAAATCTACAACCTGAAGGTGGTCGGCCTGTACGTTTTGAAATGGATTCAGCCTAGTTTAATATTTATTTATACATTTAAGTAATTTGTTGAGTTAAATTTAATAAATACAAAAATATTTTAAATGAAAAGAAAATACGAAAAACTAAAATTTTGAACTAAATGCAAAGAATATTTGAAAAAAAATGCAAGTAATTAACTTTATCATTCAATAAATTTAAAATAAATAAATATTATTAAATAATACCTAATGAATTAAAATTTTTTTCACACTAAATTCTTAAAATTATCATTCTCATTGCATAATTCTATATGTAACACTATTCTAAAAATAAATATATTTTATGAATTTTTTTTTTTATAAAATATATTTATGTATTAAAAGTGGTAGCATTTGTTCTATTTTTGAATAATAGCCTACTTTTAAAACTAATTGACGAACTTTATGCTAATAATAATTTTCTAAAAAAAAAAGCTATTACGCTCTATAATTTCTAAACTAATTTTCATAACTACAAAAAAATTCTCAGCTCGACTATATGTATATATATATATATATACATAGAGGAGATAAAAAATAGTTTTTTTTGCGGAAAATGTTTCTCACCGCGAAATTACTGAATCCTCAACTTCTGGAATAATTAGTAGACGCTAATTTGTTAATTTGTGCGTCTCTCGTTTTGCCTTTTTTTTTTTTTTTTTTTTTGTTTTTTTGTTGACAGCGCTCGATATAGTTGAAGTTTAATTGTAGTGGCTGCGGAGTAGACTTTTGGAATAATAATGAAAAAAATTTGAGGCTTTTTGAATTGTTCGATGTGTTATTTTTTTATTTTTATTTTTTGTGAATCGTGCATGCTAAAGACATCTATGTAGAAAATCGTGCTTTCAAGAGTACAAAGTACATGAACAATATATGAAAAAAGGAGCATGTGCAAGACATCTAAGAAAAACACGTACACTCGCTATATCGACTATTTGCTACCTCTATATAAAAGAGCAATATTTTTATCAAAAAGTATTAGGCTTAAAAATATTTTTTTTTATGTGAAATAGAGAAATCTAATTAAATTAGACATGCCAAAAGAGTGCCTTTTAATATATATATAATATATATGATTATGTCGAATCGATTGTCGTTATCACTGTATTAATGTCAATGTTTTTGTCTTTTTTCCTCATTTAAAATATATATATATACGTTTCATTTTCTTTTTTTAGAATTAAAAAAATTTTTTTTTCTTTTCATTTCGAGTATTTTCAAAAATTTTAAATTTTCATACTATTTTTAAACAAACTGTATACAATTATTTGAAATATAAAATAAATATTTTTAAAAAAAGTAATTTTAACTATAATTACTTTAGCAAAATTTTTCAACACTTCCTGTGATAAATTTAATAAAAGAAACATTACATTTATTATTTATTCAGAGTTTTACTTTTAATTATTGACCCCTTTATAATTTTCTTATAATTCAAGAACTTTTAAATTGTTTTTTTAATTTTCGTAGTATACATATTAAAATTTGTTATAAAAAATTCTAAAACTTTTATCATAATCAAAGGAGGATTAAAGATTAAAAATAAAATATAATAACTTTTTTTCAATTATAGAAACAATGGAAAAAAAAACTAATTGAATAAAATAAAATTTTATTATTTTTATTCATCTAATTTGATTAAAGTATTAAAATTTAATTATAATTAAAAATGATTAAATTATTTAATAAATACATATAATAGAAGGATGTTTAACATTTTTCATTTAATTAGTTGACAATGTTTCCCATTTATAATTGATTAATGACTTTTGAATTAATTAGATAGTGACTTTTTAATTAATTAATCAATGATTTTTGAATTATTTATTCAATGACTTTTCAGATTAATTAGCTAACAAATTTTTAATTAATTAGTTAATTATTTTATTGTTTTTTTAACTTTTATCCAATTAGTTGACAGTCTGTTTCGTTTAATCTGCAGTAGATTTTAACTAATTTTCATTGAAAGAGTTTAAAAAAAAATTTTTTGTTTTGACCAAAAAGACATTATTTCATTGACCTATTTCATTAACTGGAAAATTTATTTTTACTTTTCTCAATTAAATTTTGAATTCTGTTATTTTAATTAAAATTTTTTCCCATTTTTATAGTAGAGAAGATAAAAATTTTATTAAGCTAATTTAAATATTTTTATTTGTGAAAAATAAAAAATTTTGGTTATACAATAAATGAAATATTTTATAGTTAAAGCCAATTTTTTTTGTCCGTGTGCCTTTTTCGTTTGTCTATTTTTCTTTTTTCTTTTTTTTTAATGAAGATTTTTCAAAATGTCATAACTATTTTCTTTTTATATTTCAATATATTCACTTATTTTTAATATTTATTATACTTGTCTTTGTCTAATACGAAAGATCGAAAAACGACATGGATATGTGTGTAAGTCGCCAAAGTGCTTGTGAATTAAATATACAGAGATAATTTAGAAGAAAAATCATCTCAAGAGAAAAAAGCCCAATGAGTATATATATTATATATAAAAATGTGATTGATAACCGTGATTATAAGATATTAATATATATATATATCAATCGCAGGCAGTAGCAAATGATGCTGAAGGTGGTAGACCCAATTGAAGTGAGTAGAGTCGTAGAGGCCACAAAATGTACATAAATACATAAATATAATTATTTAACACTATATCGATTTACAACTTCGATTCACTTTTTTCCAATCACTGTAAATACACTTTTCATTGTTACAAATATATTACTCAAAAAAAAAATTTTTTTATTTGCAATTTTTAACCCCTTGACAGTCCAGGGCCCATATGTGGCTAGAAAAAGTCATGCCACCTTTGTGCAAGTGGCCATATATGGCCATCGCAAAAAAATAATACTAAATTTAATTTGATTTAATTTGTTACTCGGGGGTTTTTGGGGTCGCTGAATCCAAATTTGAAGTCAGATTTCAAAAAAACAAAATGGCGACCATGAAAACTTAAAATTTATCAGATTTACATGAAACTCGTTGCTCAGGGGTTTTCGGGGTCTCTGATTACGAATCTGAGGTCGGTCTGTCGCCACAAAATGGCGGATCCAATATGGCAACCCAATATGGCGGATAATTTAAAAATTAATGCGTTTTGACCACAAATTGTTACTCGGGGGTTTTCGTAGTCGCTGAATTCGAATTTGAGGTCAGTTTTTCAAAATTCAAAATGGCGGATCCAATATGGCGGACAAATTTTTAAAAAATCAATCCGATTTGTCTGAAATTTGTTACTCAGGGGTTTTTGGGATCGCTGAATTCGAATTTGAGGTCGGTTTTTTGAAATTCAAAATAGCGGATCCAATATGGCGGACAAATTAAAAATTTTTTTTTTTAAATTTGTCCGCCATATTGGATCCGCCATTTTGAATTTTGAAAAACTGACCTCAAATTCGAATTCAGCGACCACAAAAACCCCTGAGTAACAAATTTCAGGCAAATCGGTTTGATTTTTTAAAAATTTGTCCGCCATATTGGATCCGCCATTTTGAATTTTGAAAAACTGACCTCAAATTTGAATTTAGCGACCCCAAAAACCCCCGAGTAACAAATTTCAGGCAAATTGGATTGATTTTTTAAAAATTTGTCCGCCATATTGGATCCGCCATTTTGAATTTTGAAAAACTGACCTCAAATTTGAATTTAGCGACCCCAAAAACCCCCGAGTAACAAATTTCAGGCATATTGGATTGATTTTTTAAAAATTTGTCTGCCATATTGCATCCGCCATTTTGAATTTTGAAAAACTGACCTCAAATTCGAATTCAGCGACCACAAAAACCTTAAATATGATGAAGTCATATTTTTTTGGAAACTTTTTTTTCGGACCGTTTTAGGCCCACCAGCGATTTTTAACTGGACTGCGAAGGGGTTAAGTAACTTATTTATATAATAATTATATTTTTATTTCTATATATTTTTGAATATCTACAATTTAATTAAAGACTATTATTTTTTTTTTGTTTTAAATTAATTGAAATTTAGACATTTTCTAGATTATGTTTTGAACAAATTACAATACAATTTTATTTTTATAATTAATAAAATAAATTATAAATTGAACATCAATGATATTTATATTATTCTTTGAAATTAAAAAAATAATATTTTTTAATTAGATTTAGATACACTGAAAGACACTTTTTATTTTAAAAATTAATATAATTTATTTCAAACTGGGGGAAAACTCTGTTTTTGTACTACAATTTAATCATATGAAACTTACTAGTTTCTGACCAAATAATACTTAAAATTAATATGGACTATATTAATTTAAAGTATTATCTGGATAGAAACTAGTAAGTTTCCTACAACTAAATTGTAAAAAAAACACAGTTTTCCCCCAGTTAGAAATAAATTATATTAATTATTGAAATAAAAAGTCTAAATTTTATTGGATTCATTTGTATTGTATTAGAAATAAGTTACCATAAATTGATTAAAAAAAATCTCCATGAGGAAGCAAAGTGCTCATGAAAATGAACACAAAAATTTTATACTTCAACTTATACTGACAGATTGAAGCTAAAGTCAAGAACTGAGATTATCTTTCTGGGGGTTAAATGATAATAACCCACAAAAATTAAAATTTTCTACAATATTTTCCAAACGTAAACAAATAAATGCAGATAAATTTGCTAATGGTAATCTCTCGATTATTATAAAGAACATTTTACATAAAGTTTTAATAATTTCAAATTCTTGATAAAAAAAAAAAACATAATTTTAATAATATTGAAATATTTGCAGTGATCGAAGAAATAAGTGAAATTTTGAATAGTGTATAATATATTATGTAATAAATGTATATAATGCATTTTATAAAAAAGAAGATTGTGCGGGAATTTTTTTTTTGGTTTTTTTTTTTGGAGAAACTTACGAGGGGTCTGGCGCCCCAGTACCAGGATTTGACGCGTTGAGTAAGGCCACCGAGGTGAGACCTCCAACCACCAAAACCTCCCCCACTCTCCGAGTTCCTGTCCTCCCTTCCTTCTTCATCATCCTCAGTATCACGATCACGATCACGATCTCTTCTCCTCCCATTACCAATCATCTCGGCGTCGCTACCATCGCAACCTCCATCGCTTTCCTAGTCCCCATAAACAGTCCCAAAAGAAAAAAAAAAACACCGAAACTTCATTAGTTGACCTTCACAAAAGTCTTCTTCTTCCTCTTCTTCTTTAGTTTTTAATTCTTCAAAAAAGAGATTTTTTTTCTTTTATTTTCAAAAATTCGACCCAACTTTAAAGATTTTTTTTCCCAATCTCTTTTCTTTTCTATTATTTTTCAGTGATTTTTTTTACGGTCACATAACTAAAAAAAAATTTATTTTAGGGGAGTCGAGATTCTGTAACATTCTTTTTTTTAAAAAAAAAATATTCCAAGAAAAAGACCAATGGTTCTGTGTGCACAAAGAAATTTCTTATTCAAAGCAAATATAATTTATTTGAATTAAATAAAAATATATTATATATTTGTCTCAGAGATGTAAAGAACTTTATATTTATTTGCGAACCAAATAAAATTTATTTGAAACAAATAAATATTTATTTGCGAACCAAATAAAATTTATTTGAAACAAATAAATATTTATTTAGTTCTGAAAGAAATATATACGCCATTTCAATATATCGTTGATTTTGACACTTTCGATTTAGCTAAATTTTTTTTTCTTTTAGTACTTCACAAAAATGTGTTTTATGATTTTTTTTTCAAATTTTTTATGAAGGTGTTTGAATTTTAATAATTTTTTATTTTTGAATGCTCATGACTTTCATAAAAATACATCAATTTTAAAAGATTATTTTTGTTTTTTTTTGAAATTGTTAATATTTACGTGAACTTTTTCAAAAATTCGATGCAAAACAATAGCGAAAAATAATTTACTATTTTTTGTTTGAAAAATTAAAAAAAAAAAACTACTTGCTTTTATAAACATTTAAAACCTGGTCCAGTTGTGAGGAAACAATTTTTTCAATATTTTCGAAATTTTGAATTTTTTTTTTTTAATGCCTCCAGTTTTTTTTTTTTTTTTTGATACTACGTATTTATGTATTTTGATGCGCTAATTACGAAAATTGTAGTGAAAATACCCGCAAATTTGATTTTTATAGTTAAAACGATAAAAAAAAGACATAAAAATTCTTATCTCTTAAACAGCTTGATAAAGAAAATTTGAAAAAAAATCATGGAACACTTTTTTGTAGAGTACTAAAAAATAAAAAAAAATTTTAGCCAAATCCAAAGTGTCAAAATCAACGAAATGAAGACATTAAATTTTATAAAAACTATATTGAAAATTATTATTTTTGAAAAAATTTTTTTTTCTAAATTAAAGAAAATCTATTGCAAGTAAAAAAAAAATTCCACGATACTAAGAAAATTTCTCATAAATTAAATAAAATCACTTATTGGAATTCAAGAAATTTTCTGAAATTAAAGAAATTCAAAAAAAAATTCGGTCTTTGAATCACAAGTTCTTTTTAATAAAAAGAAAGTTTTCTTGTATCGGAGAAAATTTTTTACATGGAAAAAATATCTTGTTTAAACAAAATAAATCGAAGTTTTGGTCTCTTAGTAGAAAAAAAAAACTCCCAGTTCTATATGAAGTTTTACGTTATTTTATTTAGTTTCTAGAATTTTTTTTAAAGGTTACAATGATGGCCGCTGTGATGAATTATAGTTTCGGAGGATGAATTCGATTTTTATAATGCTATATCCGTTTAGATTTTTAATCCAGATATATGAGCATGGTATTAATGGATAAACTATATACAATATACTAAAATATTATCCTAGGAATTGTGTTTTTTTATTTATGAGAAAATAAATTTATTATTTAAAGAAAAACTATTCGGATAATAAAATATTAGCTGAAGTATAATAATTAATTTGTAGTAATTATCATTACTGTTAATTTATTATTATAATACAATCAGTAAACCTGTGCGAAGTTTTTCAAATTTTTTATACTATTTCTTTTACACATGCAACTTTATACAATTTCATTAAAACATATTTTTCCTAAAATTTTTTCATTCAAATAAAAAATTATTTAAATTTTAAAATTGATTAATTTAAAGAAATTTTTCATTCGAACCAAATATACATGTTTATTTGAATTAACTAAAAATAAATTGTAAATTAAATTGATTTGTTTCAAATAAAAGAAGTTGCAACCCACGTGAAAAAGTTCCCGGGAGACTCCCGGGAATGTCCCGGGAGTTGATTCCCGGGAATTTCTCAGAAAAAATTCCCGCAAACTTGTTAACCCTTACGTGAAGCATTGTAGGTGTCTCTGAAACAAAAAACTTTTGTTTAAGGCGTAAAAAATTTTTGTAAGTATTTAAAAAGTTTCATTTAACACTAGGAAGTACCCAGAAGCATATTTAAAGTTTAGGTTATGAAATTTCAAATTCAGACAATTTTGTTGGTATTTTTGTATGTTATGTTTAATACTTCGAGAATGTTTTATAGTTAAAAAAAATTAATCAAAATGTTTTATTCTGCACCCAAAAAAAAGTAATCTTATACTTAGAGGAAAATTCCTCTTCTAATATCCTCTAAATATTTCCTCTTAAAACAAGATTATTCAATTGAAATGTAGAATATTTTTATTCTTCATTTTAATGGAAGAATGACAAAAGGATTCCTTTTGTATTTTCCTCTTTAATTAAGATTTTCCGTTTTAAATTTAGAAGATTTAAAAAAAGGAAACGGAAAAAAATAATGTAATCGTTTGATCCCTTTCCCTGGGTATGATAGTTGTGAAGTTGTTTTTTAACCTTTCAGTTTTAATATTTCTGGTAAAATGTCAACAAAAAGGACAAAAAAATGGATTTGCTTTATTAAAAATACAGAAAATATAGTTAAATTCAAATTAAATGAATATTTTTAACGCTATTTTTAGATTTAAAAAAATTTGGATATTTCTTGTGAAATTTTACTACTCAGGTAAATAGAAATACTATAACCCCATTTTTGAATCTTTCGAATTTTTTAAATCTTTTTATTTACTTTTTTAAAAAAGTTTTAAAACGTTAAATAATTTCATATATGAAATTTTTTTCTGTCCTATAAAAAATGTTAACTTTTAAACATATCATCATGTTTTAAAATTATTTTTGCGCTGAAAATCTCGTTGATCATTACAACTGATTAATGAAAACTTATTTTTTGTATTTTAATTATCAATATAAAATGTTGATAATTAACCAAAAACATGACATTGTTAATGTTATATTAAAAAACAATTTTTATTATTATATTGAAATGAACTATTATAATTTTACTTAATTTTAATTTAAAAATGTATTTTCTGCAAAGATTTTATTATTTGATTGAAATTATAAATATTTTATTGATGGCTTTGACATTAAAAACAATTTTACGAGGTTTGGATGTCGACATTTAATTTAAGAGGAAAATCCTCTTAAATGAAGAATAATAATTTTGATACCAAAATTAAGAGGAAAATATGCATTTATTTTAGAGGAATCCTCTAGATTGAAAATTACTTTTTTTAGGGTGTGTAATTTAGTAAATGTCTGTACATAAAAGTTTAATAAAAATTAAAAATCAACGATATTTTTGAAGATATTTTAGTTGTTTTTCAAGAATTAAAAATATAAATATAAATTGATAAATAAATAATCAGAAGAAAAAATTTTAATTATGATAAAAACTTTTTGTTTGAAATTACATGGAATAAATAATTAACTGATTTATATTTAATTTGACGGAGACAGTTGATAAAAATCAATTGACCTAGGAGCAAATATTTGAAGGTTAATTGTAGATATTTGATTTTGACTGAGTTTAGGTAATATGATAATTGCTTCTCGTAAACGATTGAGCTGTTTAACATAAACTTCCCTGAAAAAGTTTATGAAAACGACCTGAACACTAGGAAAGTATTTTGAAACTTCCTAGTGATCATTTATCACGTTTTAAGGTTAACTTGTTCCAGAAGTTGACGAAAAATTACCCTGAGTAATCATAGGTACCTGGAAATCTCTTGTAGCGATCGTCTTTCATATTTTAGGGTTTTCTTCCTCGAAGAAGTTATCGAAATTTAACTAACTTTTAGAGAAGTACCTGGAGAGATCCTAGTAATCGACTATTGATTTTTTTTTCAGTTTAATACATTGGAAAATGTCGATTAATTACCTGGATCTCAGACTGAAACCTTGAATAGGTTCCTATAAGTGCAAAATATGATTAACCTAAACTTTAAATATGCTTCTGGGTACTTCCTAGTGTTAAATGAAACTTTTTAAATACTTACAAAAATTTTTTACGCCTTAAACAAAAGTTTTTTGTTTCAGAGACACCTACAATGCTTCACGTAAGGGTTAACAAGTTTGCGGGAATTTTTTCTGAGAAATTCCCGGGAATCAACTCCCGGGACATTCCCGGGAGTTTCCCTGGAACTTTTTCACGTGGGAAAAAAAATGATTTAAAACATATTTTTCAAATATATTTTTTTGGGGATAAATGTAGAACAAATCAAAGAAATTTTCGTTAAAAAAAAAATATTTTCTTTTAGAGAAAGTAAATTTTTTTTTTTTTGAAAACAAATCCAGGACCTTATTTTTATTATATGATATGAGAATATGTAAAAAAAATGAATAAAAACAATAGAATATTATTCTCTCTAAAACATAAAAGAAAATTATTACTCTTGCGAATATAAAAGTAGATATATAATTATATATACTCTCTAAAGTGTATATATATTTTAATACAGGTCGTTAATCCATTCCTTTCAGTATATAACTTTATTTCTTATCGATCAAGAAATATAATGGCACATTAAGAACTAAAGTGCGTGAGAAAGATTTTACATATTATAATGCCCCAGAAACAAAAATCGTAAATCAATTAACTTTGTCTGAGAAATGAGTCTATTATAATTGAAGAGCCTTGATATTGAAACTAATTACAAGAGTTGATGCGAGAGGTTTCTGATATGAAACCAAAAACTCGTTAGCTAAGAATTCTTATAATTATAATTAATCACTGCGCTTCCCAAGAATATATATATATATATATTTCAAGTTGACATTTAATAATAACTTGTCAAACATC